ATCATATCATGCCACAATATTTCTTACACCATCATTTTGCTCCAAAGTAAAATCAATGTCATCAGTGTTACTGAATGTGAGACATCTATACAACTCCACCATATTCTGGATGCCCCCCCAACCACCACACATACACACACACACACGCACTCACACACACACACACGCACGCACGCACACACACACACACACACACACACACACACACACACACACACACACACACACACACACACACACACAAAAAGAAAATGTGAGCTTTCTATTTCCTTTTAACTCAAATCAACTACTTTAACTGTCAGCTGCTCTGTGAATTTCCAGACTTCGGTCTTATACAAAGATCTTCTGCATAAATCAATGAAATGTGCCTCGTTTCCCAAAACAGCCTCAAAAAATATACGACACTGCACATCCTGTTCAAGCTGCTCACTCATTTCCTGTTGAGTATATAATCATCAGTCCATGTTATCTTTTTCAGTTCTGCAATTTTAATAACGCAGGAACCAGAACCTAAAAACAGTCTTGTATACCAGAACATCGCAGTGCAATAGCACATTTAACAGGGGACAGAACATAACTGCATGTCTTTTAGTTTATGTGCTTGTTTTTCACTCTCCTCCAACAACAGCTTCAGGTGCTCAATAGCCTCTGATTAAACTGAATGCTCTAATCATGAGTATTTGTGTCTGACTGTGATGCTGAGAATGAAAATGATTAAATCAGGAAATCTTCCACAAATAAATGAAGGGCTATTTTTTTTACAAAACAGCAAACACAAACAACTTTTGAGCCTTTCAGAGTTCATCAACACACATATTGTGGTCAAACATTGTTCAGACCCACAGAGCATTAACTTTCCATCTACGTTTAAAATTGCAGCCATAGAAAAAGACTCAATTACCAAAGTTTAGATGTTAAAATAAATTTTGAATTTTCAGATGATTTCAGGCAAACACGTTTCTTCTGTCAGGTGTTAAAACAGCATCTTCACATGTTTATTGACAGATTGTCCATCATTTTTAACAAGATACTTTCTGATGTATTTTTCCATCTCAAACAAACTCATATTGATTATATTACTGTGTCACATACTTACAGGTGATGGATAACTCAGACATACATGTTGTCCCCAACACCCTCATGATAGTTGGTCTGGCCTCCTTGGGTATCAACTACTTTGCTTCAAAGATCTGTCAGGATGCCCTGGACGCCGGGCGGTTTCCTCGCTGGAAGACCCTCTTGAAGCCCTACTTTGCCGTCTCTTGTTTCTTCACTGTCCTCATGCTGCTGGCTGTCATCATGAGCTATGCGATGAAGGGCAGTCTGGAGTCTTCTCTGAAGGGTGGCTTGAGGAACGGCATCCGCTTCTACAAGGACACAGACACCCCGGGCCGCTGCTTCCAGAAACAGAACATCGATCGCCTGCAGATGGAGTTTCAGTGCTGTGGAAACAGTGACTTCAGGGACTGGTTTGAGGTCCAGTGGATCAGCAACCGCTACCTTGATTTCAGCACCAAGGAAGTGAAAAAGTAAGTTGTGGAAAAATGTCAGGAGTGAGTTTCACATCAGTGAATGTAGGTGGAAAGAGGAGGACATCTAGTAACAGTGCTGTGTTTACAGATTTAAACTGACACGTTTCCTTTGTTTCCTTAGCCGCATCAAGAGCAACGTGGATGGCCGTTACTTGGTAGACGGTGTCCCGTTCAGTTGCTGCAACCCCAGCTCTCCACGGCCATGCATCCAGTATCAACTCACCAACAACTCAGCTCATTACAACTATGAATACCAGACTGAGGAGCTCAACATCTACCTCCGAGGCTGCAGAGAGGCCCTGGTCAACTACTACATGGGTCTGATGAACACCATTGGTGCTGGAGTGTTGTCAGTCTTCCTCTTACAGGTAAACTACCAGAAGAATTATAGCGTCCCACAATGGCTTCAGTCAGGGTTTGTGATACTAAGGTGTGCTTTGTATCTGTATTAAAAGTGGTTCTTTAAGGATTGGTACAGCTGCAAAGAGGTTATAAAAACATGAACAAGGATGAATTAATATCATACATTTAACAATGTGTAATGTGTCAACAATAAAATTCCTGCAGCTGTATGATTCAAACATATCAGCAATGAGATTATACAGTATCCATCCATCACACATCTGTTTGCTCGTCCTCATGCACTGTGATGGATGCTGCTCTACATCTGACTCGCTCCCTCATTTCTCCGCCTTCCTCCCTCCCAGGGTTCTGTGCTGGTAAGCTTGCGGTTCCTGCAGACCGCCATGGAGGCGGTGACAGGGGAGGAAAACACAGAAATGGAGACAGAGGGTTACCTGCTGGAGAAAAGCGTGAAAGAAACCGTCATGGAGTACCTCGACCCGGTGCTGAAGTTCCTCCTGCTCACAAACCAGGTGGAGGAGGGCACTACTGCAGCGGCCGCCCCAGCTACCACCTAAATTACATAGGATGTACACACATGTAAATAATTTTTACACAGAGAGGGCAGCGACGAGTGATCATTTAAATTGGAGAAGAGAACATGAAACACAGATTTGTATGAATTTCACAGATTTAGGGATAGTATTTTTTATTGCCAGATGACCCTCACATGTAAAGTAAATGTTGACTTTATTACTGTACTTGCCCATTCAAATTCCATGTGCTGAACTGATCCCTTCTCTGTAAACCACATCCCGCATAACACCAGAGAAGATACCCACAGACGTTATTGTAAACCCACAATTTCTACAATTTTTGAGATACTTGTTGGTACTCCTTAATATGAATAATACGCTAAAAATCATTGAGCACATTCTTCATTTTTTATCATTTCACAGTTTTATTTTTTCTGTCATTTACGTGAATGATAAACCCTTTATTGTTACATTTGTTTACAGTTCCACAAATACACAAAGTCACTCCATTTCTTTTGAATGTGATGTGCATTGCTAATTTCATTCTTACAGTAATTGTCTGTGTAAAAAGCAATAAAACAATCATCAATCTATCACTTGATAAACAGTAATTCATGAGGGATGAGGCAAAAAATGTTTTTTTGGTCCTACAAAGACAAGGATGTAAAGCTGACTGTAGAGAGACATGAGGCACAATGCTCTGCCTTGCATCAGGACTATGACATAATGTAACAGACAACTTATTAAAGTTTGAAGTTACTAATTGTTTCATGGAGTGGAGTCACTCGTTCCCTCTCTTTCTAATGTAAATACAATACATGCAGACATTAATATACTTCATGTCTCCCTCCATAACAGGAGCTCTAAGATTCTCCCTGCCAGTGAAAGGAATAGGATTAAGAGGATTGATGAATCGATGTCAGTAATGCAGTGAAAGCCATCAAGTGTGTCCTCTGTTATCTCACCTTTGTTAAAGCTGTTAATCCCATTTGTTAATACTCAGCCTGCTGCGATTGCAGTTAGACACCTGCGTCAGGTGGATGTAAGATGCAGAGTGAACCATGCGAAGACTTTGTCTGCTTATAAAAGTCTAAAATATTAATAATAATAATAATAATGATAATAATAACAATAACAACAATAATATTGACATTGATCAAATTGAGATCTAACTTTTCAAATGCAGCTATACTGTAAAGAGTTTGTGATGTGGCAGCTCGTTGGGTCATCGATGGAGTTTTCTGATTTTGCCACAAAAAAAGAAAAATATCTAAACACTCTAATGCTTTTTTCCCTTTAATTTTTCCCAGGATAGTTAATTAAATATGAAAGAAAGCTACACTCTCTTTATTACCAGAAACAAACATTTGGTTCATCCCAGGAATCTATTTGTAATGTCAACCCCATATGAAAAGTTTTATTAAAAGCCCCTTTAAAAACAAGACTGTGTACTGAGTGATTCTCTGGATCACCTCTGACTGAAAGCAACAAGAGTTTCACATATAGGGTTTGTAATTGCAAAAGAACCAGACTGTATGACTCGCACTGATTTTGTCTTTTTTTGAAGCCTCTATAGCTGTCTAATATTTACATCAAATAATTTGATTATGATGTATATTGTGATTCAAGTCATTCATTACACTTGATGGACAAATTTGCAGGTTATGAACCTGTTGATCACTACAAGTTCTATCACTACAGTAACACAACGTCAGACCCACTGTAAGTCAGGACCATGCAATGAATATTAGTTTTGTGAAGGTTATTTAAAATTTTTGTTGAGACTGTGTTGATTAGTCTTTTTGTATTAGAGTGATATGATATTTTGTCCAGCAGGGTGACAAAACAAACAAAGAAATATGGTACAACAATACCCAGTCCACATGCTTCTAACATGATACCAAGGAAATGCTGCATGACTTAATGAGCTAAAATGTATTACAGTGTAAGAAAGCATAAAGCATAACGTAATTCCACAGCCAGACAGAGAAAGAGTCTGATTATAAACTATTTGAAATTCAAATACATTTTAATTTAACACATGGATTAGCTTTGGCAGCAAACCACTGTGAATGAATATAAATCACATAATACAGCAGATAAACAATCTGCTTCCTGCGTAATTACAGCTGCCTGGGACGTGTTGATCACGTGACGGTACAACGGCGCGCTCTATCGCGTTTCGACTCATTCTCGGGATCGTACTTTTTTTACACCACTTTATTCTTGTCGCACCCGAGGTGGTTGAAGACCCGCCCCTACACTGCCTCTGATTGGCTAGTATGTGATTAAGTTTAAGCATGAAGAGTGGTGATTGGTTACTATTGGAGCAACAATAATCAGATAAGCCAATCAGAGGCAGAGTAGGGGAGGGACTTAGCCCACCTCGGGTGAGGGAAAAAAATAAGTTTGAACCGGTCCCCTGTAAAATCTGTCAGCGAGGCGCTATAAAAATAAGCTCCTGACTAATATCTTTAAATATTTGGTCTTAGATATTTTAACAGCTACTTCATTAACGAGTGCTTCAGTTATCGAGGTGTTTCTATTCTTGCAGAGTGACTGTCACACCCACTAAAGAGTGGTTCAGAACAACAGAATCGTTCGTCCGTCAGTCTCGCAGCTGCCCGGAAAGCTAGTTTTAGACAGCTGGCTAGCCAAGGAAATACCAGCAAATCGTTGATTAGCTAATGTATTTAGCTACACTATTTACAAAAGTAGCGGGATCATATCCAGGATAAGCAGCGAGTGGAGGAAATAAATGTCAACTGGCAGGTAGGTGGACAAAGACATTTTGTTCCATCACTTGCCATTAACAGTAGCTGTATTGGACTGTTGGACAAAACACCAAAAGTTAGCTACTAACAGATATGTTAGGTGACCAAGATGTTGTCAACGGATAACTGAAATGTATTAATAGGTCTGAAAGTATCATAGTACTGTCAATGCGTCAGTAGCTAACACGGTCGCTTCCCCTGCCTTCAAGCTAACTGAGCTAACGCTAACGAAATGAAGTTTAGTGGCGTTGAGTTGTTCTCTGGAATATCTCAGCCATTGTTTGGGCATGTGTAGGACAATCCAGTCAGATTTTAGCAAGCTAACCTTGGTCTTACTGACTGCCATCGGGCAGTTGCCGCGATATCTCTGTATATACCACCTCTCTCTGACGTTACTTAGACTATAGTATTAAAACTCAAAGCCTTATGGAAATACTTTATAAATGGGACTGAGTAACAGTGAAACGTTGGGACCAAACGATCATTTCAGTTTAGCAGGGTGAGGTCAACAGTGGTCGATTGGGATGTTCTGATTGTACAGGGTTTTTTTCCAGTCTAATACCACATGGTGGCACTGGTGCTCAGTGAAACCTGGGCTAAATTTGCCTGATTACTTGTTTATTGAAACATGACTAAAGGAAATGGGTGAAGTGGTATGCGTCAGTGACAAAGACCCACCAGTTCATGTTGCAAGTATTTGGCTAGTCATCTCTGAGGTAATAACTAAGTCTTTTTTTGAAGGTATATAGGACCAAAGCAAGTGTACTAAATATAACTATGCACCACATGCACATACCCTGCTTAGTTGGTACGTCTGGTCTTTTTTTGTGCTGTTATGTTTGTTTTTCTTACCCATCATATTAATACTGCTCTGCCCTGTATAAATGTGGTGACAGGTTTTGAGTTTGGTCATTGCGTGTTTCAGATTAGAGATGGAAGGAGACGACTGCAGTTTTCCTCCAGACTCGTCAGATGACCACTCACAAAGAGGAAGTGTTGCTTCTTCTGCAACACTTTCCCGTGGTATGGAGCAGAAAATTATAAAATAAATCCCCCCTCTGTGTTTTTAAACATGCAGTACTTTTCATTTGTATCAAATTAACGTCAAATTGAATTTTAATTTAAATGTGTTGTCCAGTTGTTTCCTTTTAAAAATGTTGTTTATTTTCTGTTTAATTTTGTGTATCTATGATTGTTCACACAGCTCAAGATGTACTTATATACCTGTTTGGTGACAGTGCAGTCCACTTATCTGTAGAAGGGCTTGGCAGTATCACTGTGCAGGAGCTGGGCCGCAGTGTTCGTGAGGCTCTCCATATTCCTGAGTCTGCACAGGATGCTTTTGCCTTCTGGTTGTGTTCTCCACTGCTGGGTAAGAACTTTTTCCCAACACACTCTACATTCATAAATGCTCCGACTCTTCATCTGTTCAAATGATAGGCAAACAATGATGTTATCAGAATGCTGAGATGCATATGGATGCTTCTTTCTTAAAAAGTGGATACCAAATATTAGATAACACCTTATTTTCTTTGACAAGATGTCAGGCAGAATATGTGTCTACATGCCTGGGCCCAAATGATAAAGACCAGACATATGTTAGATATATCAGAAGAATCAGAGCAGGGAAACACTATTACATTTTATTTCCTCCACACTCCTCAGAATTGCAGTTAAAGGTGAGGCATCAACCATACAAACTGTGTCGGCAGTGGCAGGACCTGCTGTATCGTTTCACTGAGGCCTCTGAGGAAGACATTTCACAAGGTGAGAGCTTGGTCTTTATGTTGCTGTGTTTACAAAACAGGAAACCTGATTTCTGATTCAGGTTTGTGAAAGAGTGGCTGTGATAGTAGTGTAAAGAAAAGCAATATGCCTTAAATATGCCTTATATTAAGTAAACATGAAACTGAAAAGAATAACTTCATAGCCGCAGATGAACAGTAGATTATTTGTAAAAAATGTTTACAATAAGATAAAGTAAGGCTCCCTGACTAAACCCGTCATGTCACTTTGCTGTCAATTTAAAAACTCCATCCAAGACGGAAAAAAAGACTACAACCTTTTCAGGGTACAGATATTGAAATAAAAATAACTTAATGTTAGACTTTTTCCATCTTTAATGTGACCTTCAAACAAACACAAATCCAGAGGGAGAAAGAAGCTGTGTTCAAAGTTCTATTGAATATTCATTCAACAATAAAGTCTGTTGGCGAGTACAGCAGTATATACCTGCCATCAGTGAAAGGGATTCTGATTAAACCCAGACTAAAGTCAGCTGTTCTTGTAAGATTTGCTTGAATGATTGGGGTGGCATTCAACAAGGAGAACATGGTCTACAAAAAGAAAAAAGAAACATCTAATTGCGAGATCTAATTGTTAAAAAGTACCAATCAGGAGAGGGATATAAAAGAATATCGAAGGCATTGGATGTACCATGGAGCACTGTCAGAACCATCATAATAAAGTGGAGGAAATGCGGAACCACAAACTAGTTGCAAAGATCAGGACGTGCCTCCAAAGTTGATGATGGAAGAGGAGAAAACTCAGGGAGGCCAATGGCAACACTGAAGGAGCTACATGAAGGGTCACGTATTTCATGTGATCACCATCTCCCCTATTCTGCACGTCTGGGCTGTGGGTTAAGGTGGCAAGACAGAAACCCTTTCTCATAAAAAGGAACATGAAAGCCCATCCACATTATGCCAAAAGAGTCAAGATATGTAGATGGGATGATGAATAACTCCACATATTAAGATATTTTGGTGCTGCCCTTTGTCAGCAAGCTGACAATGAGGAGGAATTTCACAGTCCAACACGACAGTGACCCAAAGTGCTTCGAAGTCGACCGAGGGATGGATTCAGAGAAGAGAAATCAGACTCTTGGAATGTCCCAGTCAGAGTCCAGAGTCCCACTGGACGTCTGTGGAATGACCTGAAGAGGGCCGTGCGCAGGAGATCCCCTCACAATTTAAAGGAACTTGAACTTTTTTGCAAAGAAGAGTGGGATAAAATTACAGTCAAGTGAACAGAGACTTTTTCACAAAAACTTGCTGCTCTAATAAATGCAAAAGGTGCTTCCACAAAGTATTAGTTTGATAGGGTGTGCAGATTTATACAATCAGGATGTTATAGGTTTTTTTTTTTTTTTTTAATATTTCCTAATAATTAATTTTTTTTAAACATTTTTTTGTCTGTATTTGTGTTTGTTGCAAAGTCACATTAAAGATGGTAGATGTCTGACATTAATGGTGTTTTTATATCCACTGTAGATCTGTTCTCTGATTTCCTGCCTGAAGCCCGTAAATAACCTGGTTCCTTGTGTGTTTCTATGTATGCTGAGCACAGCCTGTTTCTTTTTCCTGCAGCTGTTCCCTCTGGATTTGTAGCTTACTTATAAATCGTTTGTGCTTAGTAGCTTATTCAGGGTAAATAAAGGATAAAGGTGCTGTCAGGTTTGTTTGGAATAAATAAAGGGAAAAGGAAGGGAGTTGGCACAATAAGCAATAAACACCTGTGGCTGAACAGGAAAAGAAAAGGCTGGAACATGTAGAAAGTCAAACTGCATCATGAGCGGTTACAGTTACTGTGAGGGATATTCAGTGGACCTGATCAATGTGTTGACAATCCAGTCCACACTGTAAAACATGAACATTGTGTTCATTATATACTACGTTTCAAAGAAGATACCAGCCCGTCATACAGAGTTGGCCATGTACAGTATGTAACATTATTATTTTAAAGTTAGTTATTCTGAAACAGTTTGTCAAAATAATTTAATTAGTCAATCAACAGAAAATGATTTAGAAAATTGTGATTGACATTTTGAACCATATTCTGACAATTTATAAACTGGTTATTCAAGGCAATAATTTATGGCTGCAACTACTGATTATTTTCATTTACAATTTAGTAAATGAAAATAATGTGGTGGTTGTAGGTGTAAATCTAAGGTCAAATAAATCTTATACCTATAATGTGTTATATATGCATAATACATTATTAGGGGTGCTACAAACCTTAAATGTAATATGTCATATAACAATCATTAAGCATTATGATGTGTGATCATAAACATTTTGTGATTATAGGAAATTATAATGCATACTTACAATACAGTTTGACATTCTCTTTATGACACAGTGTGTTACAATGTGTTATACAGTACACTCTCGAGTATAGTACTGATGACGGAAAGCCAGAGTAAGTCCCATATGAATGTGGTCAAGGACACAACCTTCAGTTAAACTGAACTGGGATTAGACCAAACTGAGATTTTATTTTTTACAAAGTACAACCGTTGGTTGTTGCTCTGTCAAAACTGTCACCCACAAATGACGTGTGGTGAAGTGTCAGTCTGCTGTTATTTCTCATGACTCTACCAGTTGAACAGCTCACATGTGCTTCGAGTGCTTTTCGTCCAGTGATATCGAAGAACGGGTGACACAGTGACAGTTACTGCTAATAAAACAAAAAGGATCACGAATGCATTGCATAATCATTGAGATGCTGTTATGTGTTGTTGCAGAGTAGGTAGGGATACCACCCACAGTACAGGACTGTGAGCCAGAGCAGAGTGGGCTGGAGGGGGCTTGAGTGGTAGATTTGATGTTACCCCCACATCTACTGCAGTGTTCGTCTCTCATCCCTCACTCCTCCACTCTGGGTGATGAGGCTGAATTTCACCTGTTGAATGATGAGAGAATACAGTCACCTAACCCTAATGCATCACTGTCCTCTGCTCTTTCCTCAGATGAGCCATTTCTCCAGTACAGACGGAATGTGTTTTATCCTAAATCTAAAGAGCTGCAGGTAATATTACCTCGACAAAACATTCATTACTCTTATATACAAGTGAATTATAAAGACACTGTTATCCATCACTTGGTAGTAAGGGTCTGTTTCTTACAAATACTCAATGGGTGTAAATGAAGATATTTGGTTAATGTCTGAAAGCCATTAGACTGCCGTGGTCATTATGGGATTTCCTGTAAATCAGAACTGTTTCAGAGGGGCTACTGGGGTAAAAATGTTTTGCTGTGTTATATAATAATCTTTATTTTTCGAAACCCAAAGTTACAGAGGAAGCAAACTGTAATCAACACGTTGTAAAACCATTAAATTAGATAATTAGAAGCGACTTCAGTATGTTACAATAAAAGAAACTCAGACAAACTCTGAGCTAACTGTCCTGATAACTGCTGATAATCTCCTGAGCAGCTCGATGATGAAGGAGTGCTGAAACTTCTGTATGAGGAGGCCAGGAGCAACATCCTCACAGGTCGATACCCCTGCGATCCCGAGCACTGGATGGGTCTTGGAGCCTTGTCTTTTGCTATTGATGAGGGATCTAGTCTGGACAGCCAACAGTTTACTTCTACCATCAGGTAAGTTCAAGAGGCTGGTTAAAAAAATTTACCATATTCTGGATGTGTTTAGTTTTGTATTTTTGTTTTCACATTGTTGATTCTTTGACTTCACTTTTTGGCTAAGAGTTAGATGATACGATCAATACCACTGGATGTAAGGCTACAGCCTGGACATGTAGCTTAGCTTAGCTTAGTTTAGTTTATCTTAGCGTAAAGGCTGGAACAAGGGGAAACCGTGTGGCTCTGTCCAAAGGTAACAAAATCTACCTTTTCAGTGCCTCTGAAGCTCTCTGGTCTGTGCAGATTGCTTAATTCACACTAACTAGTTTTAGAAGAGCTCACTAGTTACAACTAAAGTGTAAAGTTCCCATCCAAGAGACTGACCAGTACATAACCCCCTCATGAAACCAGATTAACAATTTTCCTCTTCAGTTTTTACACGGATTAAACAGTAGACAGCAAGGCTAGCTGTTTCCCCTTTATGCTAAGCTAAGATAACAAGCTGTAGCTTCCTATTTAAAAGACAGATATTAGAGAGGTATTGATAACTCTCTTTGAGAATGGAAATTATTATCTGAAGTTGGCAGTAAACCCATGATTTGAAGTATGAATGTTTTTGTCACGGTGGTGTAATTATATGGACAGACACTGATAAGAATGTGAAAGTCGGCCATTTTCTGGGAGGAGAATCGTCACTTTACATGATGGAAATAATTTGACTTGACCTTTCTGTCAACACATGATCTTACCTGACCTTCTGTTCTTTTGGCTCTAGCACTTAATTAACTGAACTTCACAATTCACAGTTCACTCGGTTACAGTTTGGCCTTTTTAGAAAATACACATCTGCGTCTCTGTCGATTTTATCAAACGGTGAGAGGACGCCTGCTGCAGCTCAGTGTACTAGAAAAACCATTGACACAGTAAAAAGCACCCCCGAACTCATGTCCCTAAACCCACGTTTTAAATGGCAGCTGGTCGATTTAGCAGCTTCGAGTACTTCGGCACAATCAACAACAAAACGCTGCAATTTGATGAAAATCAACAGGCATTGTGAAAAAGGTCAGCAGTGATTCTCTTGTTTGAAGAGGCTTTAATTTTGTCTTATGGTGATAACACTCATTGAGCCACTGCAGCAATTTTCAGTTGCTTGTTGGTTTGTGCAGGAATGAACAAAATGACATTTTCGATTGGAGTGAGACGATCATGAGAGTGTGTCTCTTTTTTTCTCTTTAAAACCTTTTGAGACTTGATTGTGATTAAGGGGATGTGGATTATACAGTTGGTACTTGACGGAGCCTATGAAACACTGTACATATAATAAAGGAGTATAGTCACTGTTCTTTTTGTATGTACTCACGACACACATTACAGGCTGCTTACAGATAGCAGTAACTGAATATGTTTAAGGAAGTCTCGTATTTGTTTGTGTGTTTTAATAATGTCTTAGTTTGTCATCATCTCTTTATTTGGTGTTTAATGATTGTTAAATGGACAATTTGAATGTTGCATCAAAACAAACATGAGTGCTTCATCCCAATAGTCCATAGATTACATCTTGTTTTCGTAATTTTTCTCTTTGACCATTGATCATAAAGCAGTAGACGAGATGAGAAGAGGCATTTAGTTTATCCTGTTCACATAAATGACATGATGTTTAATGTTTGAAGTAGAGTCACATTAGATCATCTTGGTATCTACAGATTGAATCATTCCCTGTATTGTAAACACTGGTTACCGATTATAAATTAGACCGGAAGCTGTTTTCAGAGCATCTCCAGGTTCATTACTTCACGCCTTTATTATTAATTAAGGATATTAAGGATTTTGATGTCAGTAGGTGAGTAGTAGTAATTGAAGAGAGGAGTCAAAACTAACACTTGTTTGAGGCAACACTTTTACTATAAGGAACTTTATTTTGACATCAATGTGTTTTGGTCTGTGGCTTTATTGCAGCACAGTCATAATGACACAGCACAGCAGGACAGGACAGGACAGTGACAGTAGGTTGTTTCTGCAACAGAAGCGAAGGTCAACATGAGATTAAGCAGTAAATGTCAGCAAATGAATTATGAATTGAATATAATATTAAGCCCAGGTTTGCACAGATACGAACTCGTCTTCTCTGCTCTCCACAGAGAGAAGAAGCTGTCCTCTTTTCTGCCTGCACATGTTGCCATGGGGGGTGGAGGTCTCCTCTCCACTCTGAGGGGGAAGTCGAGCCGTCAGGCCGGGCTGGAGCAGAACCTGTTGGGGGAGTACAGAAAAATCAGCACATCTGCCGCAAGCCCTCCTGAGCCCACACAGCTCCTACACCAGTACCTCAACACATGTCACACTCTGCCTTATTATGGGTAAGCATTTGTGTAATGAGCCATTTATATTTGTTACAGAAGATAGTTTTAAAACTCACAGGCAACGATAGACACACCTCAAATAACTGTGAATCATGTTTGTTTTTCAATCGACATTAACAGGTGTGCTTTCTTCTTTGGGGAGATTGACAAACCAGCGCAAGGGATCCTCCAGAGGGGAAAACGCAAAGCTGTCAACATCGGGATCTGTCTGGAGGGAGTTTATGTGATGGATGTCAAAGAGAAGGTGAGCGCTGGATCTTCTTTTTAAATGAAACGTCATGTTTCTCACCACGTATGTCTGTGCATACTTGGATAATCACCGTGCACACTGCAGACATTTTCTCTCCCCTCTCATTCCTCTTCGTGAAAGCGATCCTGACTTCTCTCTCCCTGAACATGTTTTCTTGCAGCATGTCCTGCTCGGCCTGCGTTTCAGTGAGCTCTCCTGGGACCACAGCCACCCGGAGGAGGAGGGGGACTCGCACATTCTGTGGCTGGAGTTTGATGGAGAGGAAGACGGTACTCCTGTCAACAAGCTGCTAAAGATCTACTCAAAACAAGTAAGAAAATGTTTGTGAAATTAAATTAAATTCACAAATGATCTGATGTGAATGTATTTACATCTGTGTGGTGGAGTTTGACAAACCGGCGGATGTACTGTGGGTTAGATTGCCTCAGAACTGTCGAGTGTGTTGTGGTGATTGGCTTGTTTGTTTTTTTGGGCGGCACCTGTCCTGACCTGCTGACACCTCCACCATCTCTGCTTTACTTTGAGCATCACTTTAAGACCGTCTTGCTGCCGGAGAGGGTGGCAGATGTGGTCCTCTTGTGTGCGTCTCACTTCAGATGTTTTCAGCGTTCAGCCGTCTCTGGAGCGCACTGCACCTGGTGTTTTGGAGAGCCTTCAGATCGGGTGCAGCTGCTGTGCCCATTTGTTCTTGGAGTGGCGTAACGTTTGAAAATGTCAAATCATTACAACAAATGATTGTTGGTTTGAAAAAGACTGAGCACAACAGATGGTGAAGAGATGTTACATAATGGTAGAGGCAGTCACAAATAATCACAGCAGGCCCTAATCCAAGGCTGGCAGTGTGACCCTCACGTGCCTGTGGTCCACTAATGCACCATCAAAAACTTAAGTACAGCTGTCCATTACGTATACGTCTCAGGATCAGACTTAATAACTTGTCTTTTTTTTTTTTTTCTCTTGGACCAGGCAGAGCTAATGAGCGGCTTCATTGAGTTCTGTGTGGAGCTGAAGTCTGCGTCGGAGGGAGGCGCTGCGGCTGACACGGACGGCGAGGTGAGCCAGTCTCCGCAGCCCGCCAGGAAAGACGACAGCAACAAGAATGGACGTGGAGGACGGCGCGGGATGCTGCACAGACAAAGCAGTGTTGTGTGCAGTCGGGTCCATTCACTTAACACTATCAGCTACGTGGACAACGGTGAGTCTAATGGTTTATATTAATAGTCCAACATACTTACAGTGTAATCTCTCTAGAGTGAGCTGCTTCTGTGCCAAGACAGTCTCCCTGTAGTCGCTTCAGTTGGAGAAATGTTTCTATATTTGTCCCTTTTTTTTTTTATCTTTCAGGAAAAGAAATCAAACGCTTGAAACCAAAAAGAGCCGCGTCCTTCTTCACCCGACAGGCGTCTGCACCCACGTACTCTGCAGTGCAAGTGACAGAGAGTCTGGAGCAGGGTTAAACTCACAGAGCGGCTCTGCCCCGTTCCTCTCCAAGACCAAACCTGAACATTTTACACTGAGATTTAAAGAAAAGACTTGATATGAGTTTGAGACATTTAACTGATAATATATGAACATGCAAAGGACCAAGCGAGGGATCTAAGTGCGTGTGACAATATTTATCTTCTGAAGTTGTGTATATTAAGGGAGTGCAGCAATGTGAAAAAACAAAAAGATCTTTTAACACCGATGCTTCCAAGGTTAAACTGAAGTGGCTGTTCATTAGACGGCCTTAAAGAAAATATTCTGATCACCATATGACGGACCTCCTTTATAAGTCTGAGACAAGCCTTAGAGAAACCCTCAGACGATGACTGTGTGATATCTCGTGACCTTTCTGCAGCACTCTGGAGGCAGTTTTACTGCTATTACTCAAGAACTTTAAACCTCAAAAGAGTAGAACCACTGCATTACCTCTTTTTACTTTAACTCTTCTTGGGGATTGAACACCAAGAATGTTTCAGTACATCCCCTTTATAACATTAACCATCCTGCTCAGAACTGCATGAGTTAGCACAAACTCTTTACAGTCAGCAGGGGACGATCTGAGGGCGTGTTCCCACTATTCTGCTTTTTTAAACTGCCAGTGCCTTGTTCTAATGAAAGGGTGAAGCCACTTTAAAAAAGTACTTAGTACTTAGTGCTTGGTGTTACGGATCATAAAAAGTCTGTATGGGAGCTCACTGGCTGTGTTGTGGAGGTTTCTTGTAAGTACATGTACTTAAGAGTTTAACATGATTAATATTTGCTGATATTTGCAGCTAGTTACCGTGGAGAAACAATGCAGGTGGTACATCACACATTTAAAAAAGAACTTTTATTTGTAAAAGCGGGAAAAGTGTGAATTTGGTGCAAACGTGTAAAATAACAGGATAAAATAATATTTAAAGTGTTTTACAGCATCCAGGTGTAAAAGCCAAAATTGCACGTTCACAGTATCAAGTGCTCATCGAGAGCTGAAGCTGATTTACACCAACCAAAGGATCAGATCAGTCAGTAAGTTAGTAAAAAGAACTAAATATGAATGTACTGTACCATGCTGCTACTTCTACCACTAAATGATCTGCAGTTATCCAGTTAAAACATATCACATTCAAAGTTAAACTTGTAAATCAGAACCATCAGTACAAGTGACATCCAGGCACAGGTCTGGACTCGACTGTCACCTGCTCAATCAGATCTGATCAGCAAAGTACGAACTGATGCAATATCGTACTTGTGCAACTTCTGACATGAGAGAGGCTAAAATAAGACAAACCTGTTTAACTGTGATCCGCTGTGCTCTACACAAGCAAATTCAAACTGCAACTTAAATGTCTAAGTTTCGGTTAATGATTGTTTTCCTCGCAAACACAATCATGGTCGACATTATTTGAAAGAAGACAGGGAACACTATCTTTGTGTGATGTTGCTGACACCTTGTTTTCAGCTTTGTGACAATGCATTTTTAAATACTCCAGTGGGTTTATTCAGGAGAAACCAAGTTAACTAGTGATGGAAGAAAGTAGAATTTTCTCAACCCATGAAGAAACATTTAATGCTTCAGTTCATCCGATAAATTAGAAATCACTTTATCCTGAGATGGTTTTCACCGGACTGTGACAGTCTGCTCTGAGCATATGACACGGACCTTTTTCGACTATGCTGTTGAAATCTCCGTCTGTACACCAAAGCAAGCCTATCTAACATGCTGCAACACAGAATACTACCTTAACGCTCCAGAGACAGAATTCAGATGTTGCCGCAGGTGTCTCTCCGAACATCACACCAACCCAGACACAGGCAGTTCCTGTCTCTGCTGCACGATTAACAAACGCGGCCACCTCACTAACGGCCATCGAAGAAGTTATACAGCTGTATAACACTGCCATATGTCCTGTTTTGAGATGCGGTGCCATCATGTGTTCTTCCTGATTATCCTGAGCATGTAAACTGCAAAATGTCTTTCCATTTCTATGCTTTTGACTCGTACGTCAGCAACTGTCTGTCCCCTAACTGCAGCAGTATATTGTTGCTAATGTACACTATGCATGTCACATTGTAGACTAGGCATTCCGACAGACATCATGTGATACTGCACTATTAATACTAATACACTGTTTATAAATATTTTACATCTGCGGATTGTTTTGTATCGTTTGTTAGCTTTTATGAGAGAATATTTTTACTTTCTTTTTCATATACTTGTCAGTGTTTGTACACTAGAATGAAGAAATAGGTCATTTTAAGCATTATCTTCTCAAGCAGTCACTTTGCAGAAACATTAAGTGCCTTTTTGTTTGTACTAAGTTGGCATCTCAATGACTGTATTGCTACTTGGAAACCAGGAAATTTGGTATTGCTATGGTTTAAAAAAAAAAAAATTGCATTTTGTGATGTATTTCCCACATTTTCAACTAGACAATGCATTTCACATTTCCTAGCTCATGTGAGTGTAACTACACTGAGCTTCTGTCAGTTTCTCAGTGTCGGTCATTTCTGCCTTCATTAACATATGTCCAATAAGTTGTTTTTTTAAAATAAACTGATGCAAAGTGGCCGTTTCTCAGAGAATATCTGTGGAAACGTGTGTCTACCTACACCCTCAGTGTACTGAAGCCATACTCCTGTTAACTAACATGTTATCTTGTGTGTGATTTTATTCTGCGTCAATGTTTCTACCATATGTTCTGCTCAGACATGGATTATCGTAGATTTATTATACAATCAAAGCAGGAACTTCATGGTGAGACCTGCTGTAACATTTCAACTAGATGCATTTAATAAAGTTCAGAAAAATAATGTAGTGTTAAAGTTTAATGCTGGTAACAAAATGTGTGGGGATGTAAGCGTTATATAACACATATTTAGACAGTTGTTTTCTGATTACTCCTCTTTTACATTCACCTAACAATGTTATTTACTATAATTCGGATTCTTTTCAAAAATACCTGACTGAATTCCTACGACTATATTCCACTGTTACCGTATTGTCCTTGATGCAATATATAAACTTTTGACAGATTTTGAATCTTTGACCAATAAAATTAAATTTGTTCTCTCTGAAGATGAGGCCTGTTGCTCTTTAGCTTTGTTTCTGTCTTTTTCTTTCCCAGTGATTCCCCTTCTGCACGTCAGCCTGCAGTTTTTCTCCTTGTGGCCACAACAACAACACAGTCATACTAATTCACATACAGAACACATCATGTATATGATTTTCATTTTATTTTATAATTTTAATTTGTTTTCATTTTGTTTGAATTATTTTATTTGAAAAATGATCAGCTCTTAGTATCTGCAAAAAAAAAAACAAATATTTATTTAGTAAATTCATTTTATCTTTGGTTCAGTTTACTGTTATAGTAAATTCTATGACATGCGCAGTAGTGAACTTCCGGACCAAAACTACAACATTCCTCACATTAGCGGCCGGGTATTCTCTTGACTGCCCGTAGTCTTTGGCGACGTGACACCGGATAGGCTACACACCCGGAAACAGTTACGTTTTCGAGCCAGTTGCTTGTGTATTGGGGGAAATATGACATTTTCTAACTATCTAATGAATCTGTAAATCTGCGTTAATATCGGCAGACAGTTTAGCTACACGGACATCAGTCACTTCTGAGCAAGAGGTTACCGAGTGCGGGCGGCGGTGGAGAGCTGTCTCCTGCCAGCTGGACGCCTGTCGTCTTTGTTTATCGTCGTTTTATCCCTGCATTTCTCAGCTGGCCGGAGTTCGGTATGGACGGTGAGGCGGACGGCACGGTGGCGGTGTCGGAGGACTGTGACCCCAGCAGGAGGCGGAGGGTGCACGGCATGCTGAAGCTCTACTACGGGATGAACAAGGAAGGAAAGGCCGCGGAGGAGATGGAGTCCCTGGATCCCTGCGACATCAACGGGCCTCATTTTGACCCCGAGCTCTACCTCAACAAGGTGAGGGACCCTGCTGTCATGTCACCTGTGTACTGTGTCTCATTACTCACATCCTGACCTGCTGCACTGTGTGTTGTTACAGCTGAGTCAGTATCAGTGTGACATGGGCCTGCGAAGACTACAACCCTATTAATAGCTGTGCTGTTAAATGAGAGAAATTTGAGTATAAATTAAGATCAGTAAATCAATGTAGACAGTTGTGATTTCAGAGGAAACACAAAACTCAGTGGGAATAAAATTCAGTTTTCATTAAACCAGTGCTCACTCAGCTGATTTTACATTTCAAGGAAGTAAAAGTGCAAACGTTACCTGTTTTTGCAGGGTAATGGTGGAGGTTGAATGTACAGTGTATCATGATTTGACATTGTTGTGGTTAAAGCTCTATTTACCTTGTATTATATTTGACCTCTCCTCCTTTTAAGTCTGACTGTGTGTCTTGTGTCCACTCGCAGCTGAGAAGAGAGTGCTCTCTTACGGAGCTGATGGACCAGGAGACCTGCATGGTCAAGCAGATCCGCTCTTTGGACAGTGACATGCAGACGCTGGTGTATGAAAACTACAACAAGTTCATATCTGCTACAGGTGAGGTGACGTCTCACGCACTGTCGTTGAAATGTGCAAACCCACATACTTAAGCCACCCTTCTGTGCTTTTCCAGACACCATCAGAAAGATGAAGAATGACTTCAAAAAGATGGAGGATGAAATGGACTGTCTGTCTGCTAACATGGCGGCAATCACAGAGTTCAGTGCTTCTATCAGTGGTACTCTTCAAGACCAGCACGCACAGATCACAAAACTCTCAGGTGAGACATGAACCGGAGCTTCTTCTGTTGGGTCACACCTGGTGGTGGTGGTGGTGGTGGGCGGGGCTTCACAATGGTTATTTTAACATTTTTTTGTGATGTTATGTTTCACTGCAGGGGTTCACACTCTCTTAAGGAAGCTGCAGTTTCTGTTTGAACTGCCTGCTCGGTTGAATAAGTGTCTGGAGCTGCAGGCCTACGCTCAGGCTGTGAGCTCCCACCGCCGCGCCCGCTGTGTGCTGCAGCAGTACAGCCACCTGCCCTCCTTCAAGGGAATTCAGGACGACTGTCACGCCATCATGGACGAGCTGGCGCAGGAGCTTCGGCAGAAGTTCAGGTGGGAATTTCTGAATCTGTATTCAAGTGAGAGATGCCTGTGAGGGAGCATGACGCTAAAGAGTCATGTTCACTGCCAGAAAGAAATGTGACTGACAAGTGTGCATGCACATTTTCTAAACCACAGAAATAAAGATCAATACAATGAGAAATATTTATTTTGTTCTTCTTTTGTTGTTGCCATAAGTGTGTACTGATTTAATCATAAATAATAATGTTTAAATAATGCTTTGACTGGAATTTGGGCACAAAACCATCTTTTTTGCTCCTTTTTTCTTTATAATTTTCCATATTGTCTATATACTGATGCCACTAAGGCACAGACATTAATAGATGTTCTACTTGCTTGTGCAAAATCCTTTTTGCATTTTGACTTTTTGAATTTTTTTAAAAAACATCTTTTCCTGTATAATTTCTAAATTTTCCTTGGAACAACTCTTTCCACCTGTTTTGTTGTGCTCACAGGGATGGAGGGTCAAGCGCCAAAGATTTATCAGAGTGTGTGGAGCTGCTGCTGCAGCTGGATGAGCCAGCGGAGGAGCTCTGTGATAAATTCCTGAGCCATGCGCGATCTCGACTTGAGTCGGACCTCCAGGGTCTGGAAGCAGAGATAAGACCGTACCCGTCTGCCTCAGCTGTGAAAGATGCTTCTGCACGCAGGCTGTTGTCGACCGCAGGTGCTGGATCTCCGACCGATAACTCCCCTAAAACGAGCACTCTACCTTCCCCCACCTCAAATACTGACATCCTGGAATTCATTGACAGAGGCTGCAATGAATTTGTCAGCAGCTTATGTTTGGTAATTACATCCTATCAGGAACTTTTTATCAACCATGCTCAGACAGGAGAGCTAGCGACCAAAAACATCCCGCAGATGGCAAATGGCAAGCTGCACGTCTTTGTGGACGACCTGGCAGCTCGGTATTTCTCGCTTGTGGAGCGGAGAATACAAGAGGAGAAAGGGGTCGGAGATAACTCCCTCCTGGTCCGTGCACTCGACCGCTTCCACCGCAGACTTCAGGCTGTGGCCAAACTGCTGCCAGGCTCTGCCGTGCCAAACAAAGGCACTGAGATTGTGGTACGGGCAGCGACAGAGCGAGTCAAGCAGTACCTGTCTGCTCTGCAGAGCTTCTACATGGACAGTTTGACAGACGTGAGGCAGGCCTTGGCCACGCCTCGGCTCTCTGTGGCTGGTGCTTCAGTGGCTGGAGGCGGAGCTCATCTGGGGGGGGCGGCCTCTGGTAGAGATGCTCCGACCAGCCTGCCAGAGCTGCTCTCCTCCCTGTCGGCCTCCATCCTCAATCAGATTAAGTCAGTGCTGGCATCAGTGCATCTCTTCACAGCTAAGGACATCACGTTCTCCAACAAGCCGTACTTCAAGGTGAACAGTTTCTCACTTTATTTGACAGTAATTTAACAGATTGCATCAAAAAATAATTTTCTGCTCCATAAGAGCGAGAACTCGACCAGTAGGTAAAAGCACAACTGAACACAGATTATTTTAGTGGGGTGAAGTAATGGTTTAATTTGTGACTTCCTGTTTTGTTTCTGCGCAGTGACAGTGACCGTCCTTTCTGTCTGTCTTCTCCTGGCAGGGTGAGTTCTGCAGTCAGGGAGTACGGGAGAGTCTGGTGGTGAGCTTCATAAAGTTTGTGTGTCAGTCTTCTCGCCAGTTCTGTGAGAGCGCTGGAGACAAAGGAGGGTCGACCCCCCCGGCCCTTCTGTTGCTGCTGTCTCGCCTCTGCTTGGACTATGAAACCTCGACTATCTCCTACATACTCACGCTCACAGATGAACAGTTCCTTGTGCAGGTGAATATGGTTTGTCACACTATCAATGCAGAATATTGTTTTTGAATGTATTTTTTAAAAACCCCTTAAAATGAATATAGTTCACTCCTTTAGTGCCTGATTTCCCTGTCGTCTAACTACAGCTCTTCTTGTTTTTGTACCTTCTCAGCACCACAGTCCTGTAACACCCGTCACAAGTTTATGTGCAGAAGCCAGGGAGGCAGCGCAGAAACTACTGAACCATTATGTCAAGGTAGATTTTCACCAACAACATTCACTGAGTCACTGAGGGAAAACAGTAACGTCACGACAGGAAAATACTTGTACTTTTCTCACGGATCTGTAAACTCAGTGGGGTTTTTTTTTTGCAGGTTCAGGGCCTGATAATCTCCCAGATGCTAAGGAAGAGTGTCGAAACGCGAGACTGGGTCAACACCATCGAGCCACGAAACGTCCGAGCTGTGATGAAGAGGGTCGTAGAGGACACCACCTCCATTGACGTGCAGGTAAAACTTTAGATAATCACATAGGTCTTCCAGTCCAATCACGGTGCTCTCATCACCAGCTCTCATCACCGTGCATGAGCAGTCTGTCTTATCACCTCGTGTGCTTCACTGTAGGTGGGACTTCTGTATGAAGAAGGTGTGAGGAAAGCGCACAGCAGCGACTCCAGCAAAAGGACTTTCTCTGTCTACAGCAGCTCCAGGCAACAAGCGCGCTACGCTGCCAGCTACACTCCCAGGTAGATGCGCTGCAGACAGACCCGGTGCAGGGAGGAGACAGAGAAGAGTTTTGTTTCGTTTGGTTTATTTACAACATTCAGACTCTCAGGACGATGAAGTCCTGCATGTATTAAATGTTGTTGCTGGTGTGTGTTGCCTTTGCATGTGGCTTAACTTTGACTCAGGTTAGTGAGTTTCTCTAATGTATGAGGTGCATAACTTAAGATGTTAGATAAGTGAGCCTGAGGCAGATCACTGGAGCTCTTTCTTCAGTTTATGGTTTAATCATAGTATGCACATAGTTTGTTTTAAGTCCACAGTCTTTGGTGTGTAAATGTCTTTTTTTGTGGCTGAAACCAGTCTTTTTTTTTTTTTTTTTTTTAAGGTTGAATTTCAGTGTTGCAGACAGCCACCAACAAACAGTGTTTAGTGACGGCTGCATGAAGGGTGTCACAGATAACGGATGAAATAATACAGAGTTACAGTGGGGCAGTTTTAATTACCGCTCTCAGCATCAAGATGATTAAACATGTTGTTGCTCTTCTTGTGCCAATGTGGCGCATTATGTACTGATCATTATACTGACATTTACAATCTTCGTTTTGTGTCATGAGTCAGTCTGAAAATGCCAGGATAAAGTCAACACACACATGCAGCTAATCTGTATTACATCCTTCACTTTCATTGCAGGGGAGCAAATTGTTATTGAGCCGTCTCTAATCATAAGAATCAGGTCGTTGTCGGTTTACACGAGTGATTTGTCCTTTGTCTGCCTGCAGCGCTCCCATGGACACCAACCTACTGAGCAACATACACAAGCTGTTTTCTGAGAGGATAGACATCTTCAGCTCAGTGGAGTTCAACAAGGTGAGTGCAGCATCAGGTCTTTGTTCTTGATCATGATCTTCAGTGAGATCCATCCCTCTCACGCCGCTCCGCTCCCCCAGGTCTCTGTGATGACGGGAATCATCAAGATCAGTTTAAAGACCTTCCTGGAGTGCGTCCGCTTGCGCACCTTTGGCCGCTACGGGCTGCAGCAGATCCAGGTCGACTGCCACTACCTGCAGATGTACCTGTGGCGCTTCGTCTCCGATGAGAACCTTGTACACTTCCTGCTGGACGAGATAGTGGGGAGCTCCGCCCACCGCTGCCTGGATCCCGCGCCCATGGAGCAGAGTGTGATCGAAGTCATCTGCGAACGAGGTTAAAGCTCAAAGTGCAGCACGGGCCACATAGTCCACACTCGCCACAGAATTACATCACACACTGGAACCGTACATCCACTTCACTCTCTGTTACACAGTTAGTGATGATGTCAATGTTATTGATCATTTGAGAATCGGTTTGCAGGGTCTAAATTCTACTGTAAAGGGGATGTTCACATGCTCAAAAACATTTGATCTTAATATCTATATAATCTATATTTCATTCCAGGCCCTACAAAGAGCATAACAAACATCTAGTAAGGTTTAATCTTCTAGTTTAATCTTCTAGCTGTCATTTATAAATCATAAAATATGAGGAAACCCTTATGAAGTATCCATGATTCAAGCTGAACTTGTAAACACATGTTCCCCTTGAAGGAAGCAGGTTTAATGTGAATACAGAGTATGAATGATTAAAGAAGAAAAGTTGTGTCTGTTGGAAATCTCATGTATTAAATTCTCTCAGGCATCTTTTGCTGAATAATTAGCAGTGTGGATGTCATCTGATTACATCCTTCATGTCTAACACTAAAGTAACTACAGCAGACGTTTGAGCCTTCAGGCCCACTCTGTGTTTTCTGTGCATGTGTCACACAGATTAACGTGTTTAAAATGGTTTAAATGTGTTTGTCCACAATAAAAGTGAATGAATGTGAGATTGAAAATGTGTTTTTCTTCTTTTACTCAAACGAGCAGAGTCTCATAATAAAAACACAGTAAGAATATTGTCTTCAGCTGCAGACTCAGTGCTGAAAACAGGTTTGAGTCTTTAATCTCCAACAGTACAAACAGTTTACAACAATGTCATTCAGGTGTTTCACAACAACTGTCAGTCATTCTCCAGTGCAGCATACAGCTGGCTGTCGCCACCTGACGAGCTCATCTGATTGGCTAGACCCTCTTCTCTCCACCCTCTTCTGATGACCGCGGAGGGATCTGATTGGCCGAGAGACGATTCCGTGCTGGAAGACGTGAGCCGGGGGCGTGTCCTTCTGCATGCTGCTGGATGGATGTTCAGGAGTAGCACTGATGCACAGTCCCGTCTGCAGCTCCGTGTCACACACCGGTAAGACACTGTACCAACTGTACTACAAGACAAGCAATCTTTCACTCTTTACAGACGCTGTTTTACCGCGAAGCCTCCGCGTCTCCCGCGCTCACATCATCTCAGCATCGTCAGGTAAAGGTGTTTCATAACAAGAGTCACAGCGTGGACACAGGAACTAACAGCGACCTGAACTTTGTCTTGGTGATTTAACACAGCAGCCGCAATGATACAATACCAGTAGCCTCTACAAATCAACAAAATTTGTAATGTAAATGTAAATTATTTCACATTGTGTGAAAATAACATTTTAATTTATTTATTTATTGTGTCGGATGATGTTTTTAGAGTTTCCTTAAAGTATTTGAAGGCAGAGATGTTCTTCCTTTCACATTCAGTCTCTGAGCTGCTCTGTAGCATTCCCACTGTCTGAAGCCTCTACATTATAGTAAACAGTATAGTATAGTACAGTACAGCACAGAATAGTATGGTATAGTATTAGTAAAGTATAGTATAGTATTAGTACAGTATAGTACAGTATAGTGTAGTATTAGTAGAGTATAGTGTAGTATAGTACAGTATAGTACAGTACAGTACGGTATAGTATAGTATTAGTACGGTATAGTACAGTACAGTGTGGTATAGTATAGTATAGTATATTATTAGTATAGCATAGTACAGTACAGTACGGTATATTATAGTACAGTGTAGTATAGTACAGTATAGTATAGTATTAGTACAGTGTAGTACAGTATAGTATAGTACAGTGTGGTATAGTATAGTACAGTATAGTATAGTATATTATTAGTATGGTATAGTATAGTATAGTATAGTATAGTACAGTGTAGTATAGTACAGTATAGTATAGTATAAGTACGGTATAGTATAGTACAGTGTGGTATAGTATAGTATAGTACAGTATAGTAGAGTATATTATTAGTACGGTATAGTATAATACAGTATGGTGTAGTACAGTGTAGTAGAGTATATTATTAGTACGGTATAGTATAATACAGTATGGTGTAGTACAGTGTAGTATTAGTACAGTACAGTAGAGTATAGTATAGTAGATATACAGACAGAAGACTGTAAGGGGTAAATGTACTCAAATCTTGACTTAGTAAAAGTAGAATTACCATCATGTACAATTACTCCACAAGTAAAAGCCCTCCTTTCTATATTCTACTAAAGTTAAAGTAAAAGTATACAAGTATTGTAAGCAAATGTAGCTATTATCAAAAGTAGAAGGCCTTTCAAAGTTTTAAATGTGTTACATTAGTGGGTTGGTAATTATCACTGGTGTTTAAGAAGCATTTTAATAGAGCCGGCTGAGTGAAGCTCCTTTGAACTCACCATCCTTCTTTATTAGTTGTACAGTTTTAGAAATACCTGTGTAGGAATGCGTGGCCTATAATCTGTAATAATGCATCATATTATCTCGGCTGATCGTATATTTTGTAAAATATGTCAAATCACAGTCACTGCTAACTGTAGCTGTGAGATGTGTTAATTGTGGAGTGGCGTATAAGGTAAATAATAGCATGAATTTGAAATAAGTAAATAAAGCACAAATACTTCAGGGCCGTACTGAGTTACTTTGCACCACTGCTGTTATCAAGGATTTATGTTCATTTGTAAAGAGGCTCACACTGTGCTGAGGTCAGAGGTCACGCTGGAACCATTTACAGCCTGTTTAAAGAAGAACACTGGGTGTTAATATATAAGAGTCAGAAGTTAATTATTACGTTTTACTGCAGAATAAATTGAGGATTATTATAATAATAGTAATTGTCAGATATGATTCATTCATTTTTTGAAATAACAACCCGACATTATCAGAAGAGTGTGTGACTTCTGTCTTTTTTATCACCATGTAATCCCTGTATTTATTTGTTCCTCAGATGTCTTTATTCTGACTGAACTACATCAGCCTGTCTTTTCACAGGAGAGCAATAATGAGGCCGAACAGTCAAGCAGCCAAACACAGATCCTCACACGACACAGAGAGGGAGTTTGGAGGAACCCTGGGTGAGTCACAGCGCAGCGTCTTTCCCAGGTGCCGCCTCGAAGCTTCACTTTCATTTTATTCATTTTACATTTATGATTTTTGCCTTTTCATTACCATCACCACCGCACTGTGTACCATGTGTCACCTCTTCATACTCATATTTACAAATGGTGCGTGCAGGACTATTACAGTCCTGCTTTACCCTGTGTTGTCCCACAGGTACAAACTGCAGTGAAGGTGAAACGTCTTAAAGAGTTTCATGTGTTTCTTAGTGAGTAAAACTGATTTTAGGAAGAAAGGAAGGAAGAAATAAAAGGTGGTGCACTGTAAAAAAAAAAAAAAAAAAAAAAAAAAAAAAAGTGGCGCTAAAGTTTCCAGACAAATTTACATGTAATACACTATAAAAATTCAGAGCAGATTTTAAAGTCAAAATTAAATAAATTACAGATATTGTTGTTGATAAATGTGCATTTAACAGTGGAATAACAAATATGTCAAAAAACATGAAAAACAATGTATGGCTTTATTAGTTAGTTTAAGAAACTGCCTCATATATCTACTGTAATTTCCTATTTAGATCTTGTTTTGCTCCAATACAACAAGTAAGAAATAACATAACATGCATAGTATATCAAAGCCATCTATCTATCTATCTATCTATCTATCTATCTATCTATCTATCTATCTATCTGTCTATCTATCTATCTATCTATCTATCTATCTATCTATCTGTCTATCTGTCTATCTATCTATCTAATGCTTGGTAGATCATAAAACTGTTGCTACTGTAAAAATGAAAGGATGATGAATCTCTCACAGAAAGAACAGGACTCTTCATCACACCTTCATCACCAGAGTCAAATTTGTCGTTGCAGACATGAAATGAAATGAGCTTCTGTGTGTGTGTGTGAGAGAGAGAGTGTGTGTGTGTTTATATTGGTTGTGTTTTGTTTCCTGTTGTGTTCCTTGAATCATCATCACAGTAAAATCACGTTTAGCTCTGACTGATCTGACGATACTGAACTGAAGCAGGAGTTTTGTTGCAGCCATGAGGACAGATTCTAACTGCAGTTGTTTGAGATTCTTTAATTACTCACAGTTAACATACATTTGTGATATTAATCTGATATAATCGTCTCACTGGCCAGATTTGCTCCATTATTCCATGTGATGCTGTTTCACTCAGGTTACATCTTCTGTGCCTCTAGCTGCTGCTCTGTCGTCTCACTTCAATCTGTATTGGTGTCCCAGGTGCCGTATGTATTCCCATCTTTCTTCCGTTGACGGTGCTGTTCCTGATCTGTGTGAGTCGATCCCCTGAGGCCTCTGTTCTCCAGTGGCCTCCTCCCCTCCCCTCCGCTGATCAGCTGTGGGAGCCTCTGGCCCCCGTGCTTCTGCTGGGATGGATCGGTCTGCACGCCCTCCTCTATTTGACGCCAGTAGGGAAGGTACGTTCATCAGTCTGGTTCAGGGCTAGATATTATTGAATTATATTATATGATCATATGATATCATGTAATTGTTCTTACAATTGATTATTTCAAGTAAATTGTAGTTAAAAAAGTAACAAAATTAGTTATTAAACCGCTGAGCATTGTGACCACGACTTCAACTACAAGATAATGGCGCTGTGAATTTGCCTTTGACTGCTGCTTCAAACACATCATTGTATTTGCTTTTGACATGCTAAAAATGTAATATACATCACCACACCTTAGCACAATGACATGCAATATACATATAAGCACAAAGCTGCACATGAGTTGTACAGTTTTGTTTTTGTTGATCTTTGACCCAAATATTAGATAAGACTTTATTAATCCCCAATGGGAAAAATTAAATCAGCTCTGACTGACCTTCTGCCTCTTCCAGTTGTTAATATATATGCAGGGTGCAATCAGTGTGTTGAGATTTAAGATGAGTACATTTGTCTGCAGGTGTCTGAAGGATTAGTGCTGAGGGATGGAACACGCCTCAAGTATCCCATAAATGGTATGATTGGGTTTAATGGTATTGATTAGTAAAAACATGAGTTACAACACATCACGTTTGTGTTTCTTTTTCTTCTTCTTTTTTTTAATATATATATATATTGGATTTAATCTAGATGTGTTAAAGGAACAGTTTTAAAGTTAGTCATAACTTAAGTGTGACATGGTTTATATAGTAAAGTAGTGCTGTAAAGTAATATTATAATAGCTGTAATGTTTGTGTATTACACACATTTTGAATGTAAATGCTGTGTTTGCATTTTTAAAGCTTCACTGTTACATTTTATTTTGAGGGAGATTCTTATTATTATTTTTTAGTTTAACCTTGTCTCTCTCTGCCCACTCTGACCTTGAGCTAAAGTTTACTTTAGTTACACAATCTGAAATCCCACTTTCCAACTTTTACCTGTTGTTTTTAATACCAGCCTCTGTCAGTCTACATATCTCTCTGCCCCAGGCTACAGCGTTTAGTTTTGTTTGTTTCTCTCTCTCAGGTTTTCATGGCCTGTGCATCAGTGGTGTGCTGCTGATGTTGTTGCTGGGGCTCGGGGCTCCTCTTGGGTATCTGTTTGAGCTGCTGTTGCCTCTGGCAGTGTGTGCAATAGCAGTGTCATTCCTGCTCTCCGTCTACCTCTACATCCGCTCTTTTTGGGCACCTTCCCATGCTCTCGCTTTGGGAGGCAACACAGGTGAGAGTTGAGCTTCATCATTAAAGGAAGAATCCACCCTAAACTACTGTTTAAATAAAGCTACTGGTCATGTAGCGTGCATCTGTAGGGCTGCTTTACTGTTTGTGGAGGATTTTGGTATTCCTATGGGGGACTATCTACCAGCCAAGCTCCACAGCAGCCTGCGGGCATCAGGCATAAAGTGAACACTCTCTTTCAAGTGAGCTGAGCGTTTTTTTTTTGCAGTGCCATGATGTCAAACTTAAAAAAAATAGAAAACTAGATGTTGGTGCCTCGCGCTTGTCTGTCTCTCATCTCCTCATGGTTGTCCGCCTCCGCCGCTCAGACAAGTTTCAGGTTACATCCCTGTTTAGTCATATAAAATATGAAACATTTGTGTGATATTTTGTCACAATTGTCGTGTTAAGTCTTGAGTAATGGCTAAAAAGTGTTTTGTGTTCATCCTTGAATACCAGTGGAAATGTGAAGGGATTCCCTTGAACTTTGACCACCAAAATCTAATCAGTTCATCCTTGAGTCAAAGTGAATGTTTGTGCCAAATTTGACAAAGTTGTGTCAGGGCGTATATGAGATATCCTGTCCACAAGAATGGGACAGACGGACGGACAACCTGAAAACAGTATGGCTGCTGCTCTGGCTGTCGCCGGCAAGAAGGCATAAAAGAAACTTTTTTTTTCAAGTCAGTTACCATGAAATAAAATAATTTGACATGTAAAATAGGCGCGTGCATGATTTACACAGACTATAGGACAGAGAAAGCAAAATAAATGAATCCAGTGGCTACGCAGATGGATGGTAACAAGGTGTTTAGCATTTTTAGCCACGCTAGTGACTTCTTTTGTTTTATAACCAAGTTCCTTCAAAGCCAATGATGGTTGACAGTTTAGTGATACTTAGCAAATGTTAACATGATAACACGCTAAACAAATGGTGGTGAACATGGTAAACATTTCACTGGCCAAACATCATGTTAGCATGTTAGCATCGTTATTGCGAGGCTGTTAGCATTTAGCTCGAAGCACCTCTGGGCTCAACAGTTTGACTGAATAGGTTTTAGCTAATTGATGATTAATGGATTGTTAGTTTAGGGGACAAAGTCAGTGACATGACACCTGATAAGAGTTGATATTAATTCCTTCACTTTTTATTCACATTATGTGCCTCTAGACAAAGTAAGAGGGTTGCTTTTTTAAAAATTCATCCCTCTGTTTTGTTCAGGAAATCCCCTCTATGACTTCTTCATCGGACGGGAGTTAAATCCTCGGATCGGAAACTTTGACCTCAAATATTTCTGTGAGCTCAGACCGGGTCTGATTGGCTGGGTGAGTTGACGTGCAGGATTGAACTGATCAATTGAAAATCCAGACACTGAACTTTCATCGTCGAAACACCAAGAGCAGTTTAATGAACTTCTTCCAACACGTTTACATTTTACACAGAACATGTGGCCACAGCTTTCATTTTCTCACAGTGCAGTAAAACATATATATATATATATACTCATATACTGTATATCTAAATCTGTTGCAACATTTAGAGTGAACTGTTTAAAACAAAATACTTTTGTAACCTTTCCCTTTATTTTTAGGTCTGAATAATTAAGATAGAAACTTGCAAACATTAATTAACACTGGTATGAGAGAGGAAGACCAACAGGTGGCGATGTTGCTCACCCTGACCGTCCACTACAATTTGACACAGAATCAGAAACTTTTCTCCCTGATGACCTGACACAGTGAGAGATTTGTTGGAGGACCGGGGTGAACATCGTCATCTGTGTCTGAGTCATCAGACCAAGTGAGACAGAAAATAGATTTCTCCGGTGAGAGTCACAAGTAAGAATTAAAACAAAAGTCTCTCCTTAACTTCACTAGTCACAAAAGACAAGATAGACAGTGAAAGGACTGAGTCATGCTGGGAAATGTAATGAGTCCTTTATTGCAAGTGTTTTTTGTTTCTCTGTATTTACAGTGTAAACAGTAAAACCTTTGCACATCTGAAAGCTTTAAAGCCATGAGCGTAGGAGAGGACAGAAAAAGCTTCCACCAACTGGCCACAGACAGTGTGTGGGAGATTTTCATTTCCTGTTGCATGTTAAAACAATTTACTTTTAACATTCAGCATCTTACAGTTGCTGCTAATCTTCCAAATAATCAACATTTTAAATGTTTTTTGGAGCCCCAAATTTTATTTAATGGTTTGCATGAAAATTATGATCAATGACTCCAAACAGGATTTCTTGGATCTTAAATCAAATCAACGTCATGTAGAAGAGCACAGTTTGACTCACAGGCCTGTTATTGAAAGTTCTTGAAACGTTTATAGTCTAGTGCGATTTATCATTTAGATTTATCATCTATTCTGGTGGTATGACTTTTCCAGAAGCATCCTGTCGCCCAGCACACACAAGACAACTTGTAGTCTTCATTCAAACACAATGAAAAACAATATTTCACAATGCAGTGACATACAACAGACAGAGTTTTCATGATCCCAACATATGGACCTCTACACCAGCAATGTGTTCTCAAGTCACAGGAGCATTGCTTGACTTTTTCTATAAATAGAAAATGTTTTATTTGATGGCGCCTGTCTGTGGGATGAGCGCGGCCACTGAGGGTCCTGCTCTCAGGAAAATACTGCAGCTTCAGCAGTGGGGTTTTGATCATGTGTCACTTTGCAAAGAAAAAAAAACACAGGTGACCACTAGAGCTGCAGTGATTAGATGCTTAATCAACTGTGTGTAGTTCTGACTCACTTCATCACTGGATGAGTTCGTCTGACGGTAGTTGGGATGTGCAGGTGAAACAAAACTAACTTGACTAGTGATGATCACTTCCTCTCAGGTGGTCATAAACCTCGGCATGCTGATGAAAGAGGTGGAGCTTCGAGGTTCCCCCTCCCTCGCCATGATACTGGTCAACAGTTTCCAGCTGCTGTACGTGGCAGACGCTCTGTGGAACGAGGTGAGGACACCGAATACAGCGCCAGAGATTTTAACCTTCTGTCTTTGTACTTTTAACTATTATTATTTGAGTTAATTTCATGCTCCACTGTGTCATAACAGGAGGCTGTTCTGACAACCATGGACATTGTGCATGATGGTTTTGGCTTCATGCTGGTCTTTGGAGACTTGGCCTGGGTCCCCTTCACATACGGCCTGCAGGCAGCCTTCCTGGTCGTGCACCCGCAGGCCCTCAGTTCACTCGGAGCCGCAGCTATAATAGCACTGAATGGTAATCATGTGACAGCTCTTCTTCACACAGCTGTAAAGTGTTGTGTTTCATGTTTAACTATGGTGATGTTCATGTTTTTCTCTTTGCCATCAGGTATTGGATATTATATTTTCAGAAAGTCCAACTCGCAGAAGAACCAGTTCAGACGAGACCCTTCACATCCGAGCGTTGCAAGTCAGTTTTTCTTCTAATTTTCTATGAACGTATATTCGCTTCTTTCTACATCTGATTTCTAATAACGTGTCCCAACTCACGCTGTACATATAAAGAAGAGATTAAATTAATTTCCTCTTTGTCTCAGAGTGGCGAGGGAGATGTGGAGGTGATCTCTGAGGTGACTTGCAAATTATATTTTTGACTTGTTCTCAGGGCTGGAGACCATCGCCACAGCAACAGGGAAGCGGCTGCTGGTGTCCGGTTGGTGGGGTCTCGTTCGTCATCCCAATTACCTCGGTGACCTGCTGATGGCGCTGGCGTGGTCCCTGCCCTGTGGTAAGGCATCAGCTTAAAAGCCACTGTGAGGCTCGTTTTTGCCTACAGGCCGCACTGACATAACACAAGCCCGGAGAGGTGTTAGTAGAAAGTGTGGGTGAAGTAATCATATCCAGTCACATTTATCATTAGAATAGACAGATTTGTGGGTGTTTTTAATGACATGATCTGAAAAACAAACTGTGGAGCTGAAACATATATCACTGCACTCTGACTTGTGCCTGCGGTTTTGTTGAGATTCAGTTGTGTTCATTCATTTAAATAGTCAGTTTAAAGGCTTCAGGTTTTCAGCATCAAGCACCTGTTTTATTCTAGACATAGTGGTTGTATCAAACCAGCTCCAGCCATTGTGATTTTTTTTCCAGATTTCCTTCCTGTCCTCACAACGTAATTATACTGTGTTTAATACTGATGCAGAATAAATGAAGGCCGCAACAATCTGTCTTTGTTCCCCTGTAAACTGCCTCATGTTCCCATGAATCCTTCCTAAAAATGGTGGCTGTCAGACTTTTGTTACAGCTGACACATAGTGCTCATTGGTATTCAACTTTATGTGACTCACTTTTGTAGCTGCCTTTGTAATTGAGATGTACAGCTGTTTCTGCCTTAATTGCTGCTGCAGAAGTCATCAACTGCTAAATTATGCACTCGGAATATAAAAAAAAAACTGGCATATTCCAGACAGATGAAAGCTGCAGTGAGAAAGGAACAGTGTTCACACAGTGGTCTGCAGAAAGAAACACTGACGGAAAGACGAGAGCCGCAAAAAATGACCACCGAGATGAATCAACACAATGAACATTATGATTGAAATTAAAACGTGACCTCTGACCTTTGACCACCAAAATCTAATCAGTTCATCCTTGAGTCCAGATGAATGTTTGTGCCAAATTTGAAGAAATTCCATCAAGGCGTTGTTTCCACGAGAACGGGACGGACAGACAGACAACCAGAAAACAATATGGCGGCTCTGACTGTCGCCAGACGCGGAGGAATAAAAAGTGCAGAGGCGGATTTTACTCTCGATGTAATTCACATCATAAACACTCATCTCATTAGTGAAAGGTGTTAGTTTCCCTCAGTTTTGATGCTCATTTGAAATTCATCAGTGAATCATAAATATTTTGTAGTTTTCTTTGATATAATGTTTTATGTGTGTTTCTCTTTTCTTCAGGATTCTCACATCTGCTGCCGTACTTCTACGTCATATATTTCACCGTGTTGCTGATTCACCGAGAGGCCCGTGATGAGAGACAGTGCAGGGCCAAATACGGACTGGCGTGGGACACGTACTGTCGGCGCGTCCCCTACAGGATCTTCCCTTATATCTACTGAGAACGAAAGCAGACGGGCGGAACCGGACCAAATCCTCGTGACTCTGCAAATCTACACAAACCCAGCAATAACTTGAGATGTGAGTCCATTTTCATTTACATGGATCACAAATCGTAACTGGTGCTGCTACTGGGAATCTGCTGGGAGCTCACGACGTTAATCAGCCTTCATTCGTGAGTCCGGTTACAGAATGATGGATCGCCACTTCTAACTCTTTGAAACCTCACAGCCACAGATCGCGATGAGCTGCTATAGATAGAGTCAGGCTGCAGTGCACATCTCTTGTTCTGTGCACAAGTGTCTCAGCATATAAGGCAAAAGCTCTGAGCCTTTCCTCATTAAAAAAACAAGATGACCCTTTTTATTTTTAATGAGAAAACAACCGAAAAATAGAACCCAGTGGGAAACATCGATCAGTGCCTTTTTTTAATCCAAAAACACTGGGTCACCTCATTTTACCGTGTTATTTTTTACAGTGTCTTTGTTTTGGTGAAGTGTATTGTTGCCTGTTAAACACATTTGAAATAAACAGATAAAAAAAAACAGCACTTTATCATGTATCTTCATCCTGGACAGACAAATATCTGAACCTCCCTGAGCATTGTGGGAAATGTCATTGCTTTGAATTATATATGTAGAAAAGTTTTTCCATTATGTGAAGGCTTGAATCTGTGTGACAGACAGCTGAAAGAGCAGAGCAGCTATTAGCCTGTAGAGATACCAGCTAATAGCTGGGTTACTTTTTTAATAACCTTTTCCAACCTGTTTAAATGGATCCTCTCTCCAGCATACAGGCGTTAATAGCAGATGTTCACCAAGCCTCTGGGCTTTTTTAACATCTGTCAGACTTCGGCTTTGAATATGTTCTGTTCTAAATTGCTCTGAAGGAACAAAAAGTACATTGAGTGTATTAGTACAATGAAATGCCGTCAAAGGCTCCTGGAAAATGGCCTCAATCAGCTTTAAAGCAGTGTTTCCTTTTTTGAAGCTGCATTCTGAGCAGGTTGAGTCACTGCGGAGGAGAGGTGACAGGTGGTTTTATTGTTAATGGACTGGTGCATCATCTTGAGGACACTTTTTTTGAATAGGTGCTTACAAAGAAGTAAATGTTCTATGATGGACCGTCATTACAGCCAGACACCTGGTTCATACGCCATTTCAATGCAGGAGTATGTTTGTTCTATTAGCAGCCAATGACGTTTTGTCTAAAGCTATTGCTCATCATATTTGTCCTCTTCAATTATAAGTCACCCTGCATTTACAGTACAAATTATATTCCTCTCACATGCAGTGAAGAGGACTGAGCCGTCTGCAGATGCATTTACAGTACAGTTGGCCTCCGGCCTCGCCTACACAGCGCTCAGGCTATTTTGTGTTGTTTTTCATGCGCTAAGTGCTAATTAGGAATGTGCTTTTTATAATGCCATGGCTGGACTCATGCTGAATTAATACATATGCTTCTTTTTATATGGTTGTATGTTTATGTGCAGAGCTATGTTTTATTTTTCCCCTGTTCATTCTGTGCATAGTGAAATCTGCTGTCCTTCTATTAGTCAGTTATTAAAGACTAATCTCATCACAATCTAACGTTTCATCTATAAAGTCCCATCATTTACTCAAGTATTGTACTTTATAGTTTTTAGGCGCTTTTCCTTTACATGAGTATTTCCATTTCATGCTATTTTATACTTCAACTTCTCCATATGAACCTGACAGCTCTATACAGTTACTTCTCAAATTTAGATTTTAGATTATAAAAAGTTTACTTGCTAAACTTCATTTAAATATCTGTTCAAAGAGGTCGAATTATTCAATGTTTCACAACAAAATCAAAGAGGAAAGTAAAAAAAAACACTAAGACAAATTTATGCAGCAGAATTTTAAAGAGAGTGAACCGAATGAACACTATGAAGACCCACATACATAAACAATGGAGAACTGGAATACACAGTCTGGTCTGAAGATTGTCGTCCACTTTGTCCGGTTGTAGACAGCTGAGCTGAAGCTCTCTGGGTTCTCAAGTTAAAACCGATTCTGTCCGTTACATTAATTAATCCATGCATCAAGTTACTTTGAGGCCATTTCTTAATCAGGGATTTCTTTTAAGCCACCAACAATATTCACATCAACGTCTTCCTCTGTTCAAGTTTCTCCAGTTTAATCAAATACATCGGCTCAAAACTCAAATTAATTCTGTGTGAACAAAAGTGTTTTTAGTCCAGAATGGAGCCGCAGAGGAACAACTTCAAAATCTGTGAGAGTGATTTGCATCTCTGCTCCCTCAAGCTCTGCAGCAGTCAGTCTGATTTGAACAAGACGTCTTGTTGGGAGGGGCACAGAAAAACAAATAACACTCTTCCAGTTAAAGTCTCATCAATACTGAAAGCTTGTTGTTTTCCACTGTTTGAATATCTCCTCCCATTTCTCCTGTGTGATCATTAAATTACCCTCTTTCCCATTTTGTTTGAGCGTTCTTCATTAAGCTGCTAAAGGCTCCTGTAGAAGTTTTTATAATCTCCATGCTGCAGACTCCACATCGTCATTAGGCTTCTGCCCAAACTACTTAAATATTCTTGAAATCAGTTGAATGTGTCTTTTTTACTGCAGTCTGAGTAAAATTAGACACTGTCATGATCATTAAGGAGAGCAGCAGAAACCTCAGATATAAAAGCCTCAGGGCCTCATTCATAAAAAATACACTGTGATTTGATCTTAAAATTTAATCTTAAAATTAGTTGTGAGAAAGACCATTACAACTGAATAATGCTCCTTTTATAAAACAGCCTTAAAACTGCCTCAGCAATTCAACCATCAACAACCTTCGTGTCCCGTATCACACTCGTCTGTTGTCTCACAGTTAAATAACTGTCTGTTGTTCATTGAAGCAATAAACACATTTTGAAGATCAAATTTTCAAATTTGTTTTATAGAATAATTTGCACATAATTGATGAATGACATGTTGTGATGTTCAGAACTGCAACTGAACTTTAGGTTTAGTTCCGAATGAAAGCGATGCGTGTGTTTATAGATGAGACAGCAGCTGACAGTCAGAGTGAGTCACGCTCACGTCTCTGTCTGGACCGACGAGCCGCCGTCCAAATAGAAACACAAAGCGTGAACAGGTTTGACACCTTCCTGGACACTAACAGCACATCTGCTCCTCTTTCACTTGTAGGATGAAAAAGAAACTAATTAATCACAACGTCTCAGTTTTGTAAAGACAAAATGTAAATGATCTAAAAAGAAAAAGATCAAACAAAATGAATTTAGTGAGTCCTGCTGGTTTGTGAATAATGTGGAGATGTTCAGGTGAAAAGAGAGTAAATGTATAAAATGATAATATGCCTTTCATTCAGTGTTCAGCAGGAATGTGAGTGTGCAGATGAAACAGGCCAAGAAGGAACTATTTATTTCATCTTTTCTCCTTCTTCCTTTTCAATTAAACCTGTTTGTTTAATTGAAAGAGTTCAGCTTTGCTTGTTGTGTCATCACGTCTCAGTATCTCCTGCCTCCTTGTTGTTGTTGTGATAATCCCCCAACACAACTTCACATCAAACTTGGATTACATGTTTACTTATCGACTGCACAACCGTAACATTAGTCCTCATGGTTTTCCTATATACTGTATGTATGTCTGTACAGCCATGATAACATGCGGAGTGCCTTGCATAATAATGAATGAGCAGAATGTGTGTCCTTCTGTGTGTGTGTGTGTTTGTGTGTGTGTGTGTGTGCACCTCTGCATGTGCGTGTGCTTGCCAATTGTGTATGTCAATCGTGACGTTTCACTGCCATCAGTTGTAGCCAGTTTCCATGGCAACGTCTCTCTGAGAGCACAGACGTAGGAGAGAGGGGGGAAAGGTGCTGAGACGGTGATGGGGGTGGAGGGTGCTGGGAGAGGAAGAGCCCGGGATGAAGAGTGTGAAACAGTGTGAACCGTGGGATGAGACAGAACCAGAAACAGATGCATGTGTTGTGAGTGAGCGAGCGACTTGCGTGCGTGCGTGTCTGTATCCTGGCATAAGGAGGTGTCGTGTATAGAGGCATCAGGGTTGGGGTTGTCATGACTACATACATGAAACTGGATGATATGAATGTGCAGAGGAGCAGCGCTGCCAGGCATGCACAGCAACTTGAGCTGGATTTTTCTGTTTTGAGTGAGAGCCTCAGAGTGAGTCAACAGGAATCTCTAATACAATTTAGTTTCCATGGCGACAGCAGGGAATGATATGTCCTTTTCAAACAGAGGGAAAACGCCAGCTTGAAGCCTCGTCGTCACTCTGTTTTCTGTCTGAATCATTATTTAGACAAGTGATAACCTGGCAAACCTCACACACCCTGCAGAAGAGTCCCTGCAGAAATACTCAGCATTTTCTGCTGCTTCCTGTTTCCACATGTCCCAACATCTCGCTGAGCAGAATCACAAAATTTAACATGTATAAGAGCCACAGTCACATTTTCATCAGTGATCTCTTGCTGTGGTGATGAACCCTGTCAGCTGAGAGCTGTCAGTGGAACAGACACCCAGCGCCCTGTAATGTTTCAGTGTCAGTACTCTGGAGGTACAGACGTTAATGAAGGGCTATCATCCTCTCTCTCTGCCGCCTCTCCACTCCAGCTCTTCTCACATCAGTGGAGCATTTTCATAGAGCTCAGTTATTTCTGTGCCTTTTAAGAGGTTGTGTGAATAGTGTGTCTCTGAAACCACTTCTAAATGCAGCTGATTTTCCACAGCTTTCAATGTGCTGCATGTCTCCTGCACCACTCAGAGTCCTCGCCTCATCATCCTCAGAGTTACATTTCTCTCCGAGCGCCACGTCCTCACAGACGGGCAGGAAATAAGAAACTTGTAGATGATCATTTTGGCATTACTGTTTTATTAGAATACTGCATGTGAATCGCTGTACATCATCGTGTAACCTAATAAATATAAAGTAATCCACCAAATTTACTGTAGCGTACATTAATGATAAATGTATAAAAGACAGATACAAATAGATATACTTAAATACAATTTTCTAAAATGCTTTGTTTAGAGCAACTACATAATGACATTCAACCGAGCTGCGCTTCTCCTCCTTTTCCTCGTGATCCTGTGCTTTTATAGTGATTGTCCAGACTCAACACACTCACATCGTTAGCAGAGTTTTGAGGTCTCAGTGTCATTCATGGGAACGTCATTTGGCACAACATGTACTGTCGACTTTGTCTTCATGAACTCTGACAGACTATTAAAGTTGCTTCAGTCAAGTGAATGGTTGAAATTCAAATCATAGAACCAGGTTGAGTTTCTTCCCCTTACCCTCCATTTGTACTTGATATGAAATGGACTGTGAATGACAGATGAGGTGTGTGTGGTGTGTGTGTGTGTGTGTGTGTGTGTGTGTGTGTATAGCTCTATTACAGAGGTTCCTAATTGAGTGGGATCTAATTTCTGTAGAAATCATGGAGGTTCTGTCACATACTGACATGGTTTGAAATCCTGATACAGACGCCTCATGACATTTTATTTTAGTAAAAGAAAAGAAGCTTCCTGGAGTGTGCAGCATTTCAAAATGTACCTTGTCAATTAGATGAATTTAGATCATTTTGAAAGTCTTGTATGCATCTTTTTTTTTTGCATCACAGTAAGTTTTATATTGGGAATCAAATTTTTATTTAAAGGATGAGTCTGGAGATATTCCATATTTTTCTCCTTGTCAACAGATCTGATGAAAAAGACCAAAGCCAACATTAAATTGATCGTCCCTGTGTAGCAAAAGCACATGCACTGTGGTTTTCTGATACACTGTCCTGCTGCCATAAAAACTGGTGTGACAAATGCACATTATTCCACTGCTGAAAATAGTCCCCAAGAAGTGCACTATGTTTGTTAAAAACGCCAAGTGATTTCAGGAGGTTATTAAGCATATTGAACAATATGTTTGTGATGTGTGAAGTGTTTTTAAAGATTTACTTCTTCAGTAGAACAGAGTATGTGCCACAGACTGGGTGGGGGAGTCAGGAACAGATGCACTAACATGTTGGTTTTAGTCTTTTCATGAGATTTGTTCTTTATAATGATATTTTATTCAGTTAATATCAGCACCCATATGTGCTTCCAGTGAAAATGTAGTTTCATATCTTGCTAATACACTCATGTACAGCAAAATGATTTATAAATTAATACATATTCTGCCCATTTAAGAAGAATAAAAGTCCTGAATGTCAGTGTTCATCATGTGAGCTCATGTTAAGGTGTGAATTGTTCTAAGTCTTTTAACATAATAGAAATGACTTCAACACATGTGAGTCCCACAGTTAATGTACCAGACGTGTCATCACCACCATTTACTACACGTGGAGCCGGTGTGTGACAAACATCGCAGTTTGTTCTCAGGCTCCAGGGTTAATGTTTGTTTTTTTGTTTGTTTTGTTTGTTTTTTTTTTACTGAAAATCACACGGGAACCATCACTTATCTACAAATAGATCAAACTTATGAACACATGATAGCAAAGGCAGCACCAGCTGAGGAAAGGCTTTGCTGTTTACAAATCTTGGTCATCAGCAACATGAGCGTCGTCTTACACTTGTCCCTTGAAACTGTGATATATGACTGCAGACGTATTGAGATGACTTCACTGGCTTTACACTTCTGAAATTACTGAGACAGTGTCATAGAGTCATTACTGTCTCATCTGTCACCTGCGTCCTACTCATTGTTATTACATACACTTAATAACACTGCATCGATATGTCTCATGAATCATATTACATTGCTAGTTTGCTGTTTTTAATTGCTTTTTGTACATGAGATTTCTACATTCTACCTCATATCATAGAGAAAAGTTGCTGTGCTAAAATGACTGAATGACTATAGTATAAATGCGGATGACTAAGAGTAAACTTCACTGGAAATAGGAATAAGGCGCTCCCTGCACACAAAGATACCACAGAACTAAGTTTTTTTTTCTTTTTTCTCAAGTAAAAAAAAACATTGCACCAAATGAAACGTGTTAACGAGTGAAAACAAAGACGAGGCCTCGGCCTGCACATGAAGATCCTGCAGACTCTCTCTAAGCCTCATCATTCTTCTCCTCATTGACTTTTTAAATTTGGCACAATGTTTTTCAGATATAAACTTTTGGCATTATATGTCTGAGCGTGAAGCTCTTCAGAAAGCATGAACCTAGAATGTAGCATAAAATACGTCCTCACAGCTATGGACATACTTATGTTGAATGCACATTACAAGCATTGACTGTTAAAGTCAAACTTATGATTAATTCCTTGTTGTTTCAGTTTGACTCTTGGCCGAGGCTGGCATGAGCAAAATGTGGCGTTGGTCTATGCTTCATCTTCATCCTGGTTCAAAGCGTGTGTGCACACATCAGTCTTTTATTTCCCTGCTTCACCTTCTGTTTTTCTTACAGTGCTTTAAAGTTCTCCTGCACAATTTAACCTGTTTTTATTTTTTTCAGTTTGATGTTCCTGTAACACAGTCAAAGCAGTTGTTTTATATCAGACGTGTCTATCAGCTTAAATACATGGAATAAAACCAAAACAATTCTGCTTTGAGAGCGTTTTGAAAACTCAAAGAATACAGACGCATTATTTCGTTATCCAGCGCCTAAGAGTTTGGAGGTTCACAGTGAGTTGAGCGACTGGATCAGTAAGAGCAGCATGGGAAAACTCCAGCCCTTCATATTGTTAAATCAAAGAATGGGTCAAAGGCAACACAAACATCCTCTTTCTGTTTCACTTCCATCCTTCTAAACTCTGTCCAGCTGCCCGTCGGCAGCGGAGGCGACACCTTTACATTCACATTATCACTCAGATTGGTCTTCTTGTTTTGTCCAAGCCAGTGAAGGGAGGGATACATGGAGAGAGGAAGAGTTGATGTCTCCATTCACTTTTCTTTTCTGGGTCTTACAGATATTTCCTTTCTTCCCTCCAGACCTCCTGCATGTTAGAAGCTCACCAAGGCATAGACCATGCTTCAGCAGGAAATAGACCGTGGCACCAGATGAAAAAAATAAGGAGAAAAGAGTAATTGTGCTGCTCTGATGTCTGTCTGAAGCTATAACTGAAGAGATCGTGAATTTACTCTTACCTGTAGAGATAGTAGAAGAAAGACAGCAGATAAAATCCCAGCTTACACCAGGACTCCTTCTGGCAGTAGTTGAGAATGTCGGCGTTCATCACGCTGACGGGATCATACATGACCTCTGACCCGTCAGCTGGCCGGTGGAAGAACCTGAAGAAGCAGAAAGGGTTTCAGTCACTCACCCACTACACCAACAGCAGCTTGTCAGACATCTGTTATGGGACTGTACCTCCACAGATGGTAGAAGAGCAGTGGGATGTTTAGGCCAAGTGTGACCCACTCTCCAGCGCACATGAACATCAGGCAGAAGAGCCCGTGGATGGAGTACTCCGGTACCACCAACTAACCGGGGCAGACACAGAAAGTCCAGTTACAGGTCTGCACATCACATTAGACACTGAAGTGATGAGGTAATCACACTGCAGCGGCTCCTCACAAAACACCGAACACTCAGCTGCGATACTAGACTAGAAACACTTCCACACACACGGTGTTAACGCTCCACGCGGCTGACACCTGACACTTCAAACACATGAAGACTGGTTTTTAGACGGGAGCAGAACCTGATGTAGTTTGACGTGACTGGGTCAGGTTACTCAGATCACTGAGTCTTCTTCGAGGTGTCCTCATCTCTGATTTTTTCTACGTTCACTAGCCAGTAGCTAACTTTGTCTGTCTGGTGTTTGGTGCTGAGCAGGTCGTGTACAGGGGATTTCCACTGTAAACACAGTAAATTTACTGGTTGTAAAACCACAGGTGACCCCTGTCAGATTTCGTATTTTGACATGATGCACTTTAAACGGCTCCAAGCCTCCGTCAGCACAGCTTCTCTGCAGACTCACAAATACTCACCTCTGATTGGGCGGAGCTACACAACCTCTGGGCTGGTACGAACACAAAGTGAAAGCAAAATGGCAACGCAGTCTGATTACCAGAAAAGATTGATCCCTACAGCAAATATATTGGAAAATGTGCACCATCTAATTTCTTCTTCACTTATAAGGTGATGGAGTGGGTATGGATCGGTGCACCACTGTGGAAAATAATTAATCAATAAATCAAACTATCAGTCGATAGTAAACATCTGCAAATCAGTGGCTTCATTCACATAAAACTCCCAATAATCATTTTCACCCTGAACCTAATAGACTTTATTCCCATGGCAGCCATTTTTAACTGAGTAACTGTTAATCTTAAAAATACTGTCTGATGATGAAAACATTTATCTTTTCCCAGATGAAGAACAAACTGCAGAATGAAGCCAGAGCAAACCTTGTAATGTAATTATGTACTGTGCAGAAATAAATAGGCCCTGATAGCACAGATAGCACTTTACCTTCTCTGATAAATCAAACTTTTTATTGGTTTCTGCTTATTTATTGATATGAGTCCATTTTCAACACACACACTTTCAAAATGGCCTCCATAGCATGGCAGCTTTTAGGGACCTTGAGTTCTCTTCCTGAAAGCTTTGAAATGTAAAAAGAAAAGAAAAGCTAAACACAGCGTTCTCCATTTCTGTGTCTGCAGGGCAGTGATGGTGACTTGTGGGGATGAACTACATGTGAAATGAATCAGTGTGCGTCATGGTCCTCACAATGGTTAGAGGGACAAATGGTCATGGTTGTCTGAAGCCGCTCTGTTTTAGTCATCCACCAGCAGCAGGTGAAAAAACATATTACTCACTCTGCGAAGCAGGTTGCAGATTCTTTCAATGTTGAGGATTCTTTCCCTCTGTGGAGCGGACAGAAAGAAAGTCTGATTAACAGTCTGTATATTTTTATATCCTTTGTTTTTTCTTCTACAGGATGTTGAACAATGACTCAAAATCACAAGGAAGAAAGGTTTTTTAGAAAGTTCTGTTTTGGAAAGTTTCAGCTGAGGAAGTTTGACACATTTTAGTGAGATTTTAATTAAATGCAGATAAACTTAAAGCTTAAATATAAACTGTGTGTCTGGTAAAGATGCGTCCACGTGCACATGTCACACGCCTCCACCTGGACCAGCATGACACAGTGTAAGCACAGAAAGAAAAGACATAGCAACTAATATCAAATTATAAATAACAATTTACCAACAAATTTCATTTTTTACCTTAAACTCTGTTGTTTTTTTACTGAATCCCTGAAAGGAAAGTCTTTTTCTTTTTTTGTGAGGAAAATTATTCAGGCTTTTTCTGTCTGTGACAACAACCCCTGAGAGGCAAGTGAAGAAATATTTTGTTGGGCGCTCATTTTTCTAGGGTCACTTGCCTCTCGGGGGTTTTTATACAGAAGGAAAAAAAAATGGGAAAAATGATCCTGCAAAAATAAAATAAAATAAAATATAAAAATAATAAATTCACTCTTCTTTCAATGCAGCGCTTTTACAGACGAAAAAAAAAACTTTCAAAAATAATCCTCGCAAAAACAGAAAAAAAAAATTCACTTGCCTTTCAGGGCTTCCGTAGTTTTTCATTATATATTCAAAATATTTAATAAATGTTGTGTTTGTTGTGAAGAAACCCAATTCAGACTGTTCATCATCACAAACATGCAGCAGCCACATCTGAAGCCTTGACAGGCGTGTTTGTCTTGTGACTGTCTCCTGTGAGCCGTGAGGGAAGACGCCATGATCAATTCCAGAAATGAAAGTCATCCATCTCCGTTTGCCGTCCAGCAGCTGGGGGCCTCTTATGCTGATGTTTTATTCGGGTGTCCATTGATTAGCCGGCGAAGGGAAATGAGATGTTCTGCTGCGGTTTATTTGCTTTGATGAATGTGTTTGCAGCACCAGGCCGGTGACTGAGCAGGTAAACACAGGAACAAATTGTCAGACATTTGTTTGCCTCATTCATTCTGTGAGACAAACACTCATGAGAGGATGCTGTATGTCTGGGGCTGTATTCACCACCCTCAGCAGAAAACACTCTCATGCTCATTCATTTGACGTATTGAGGCATCTGTCTTAATTACAGAGCCGGAGCTTCCAGTATTAAGGCCTCCGCAGCTTTTATATGAATCTGTGGCCATAAATTCAAACTCCCATTGTGACCTGAAAGTGGATTTTCCCTGAATCTCTGTCTCTCCAGCCTCATTGTTTATTTACACTTTGTTCTTTTCTGCTGGCTTTGTGCACCACTTCCCTCCACAGCGCTGAGCTTTACAGTGTAAACAGCACAGCTCTGGCCTGGACCTGCCAGCAGAGCGACTGCTCTCTGCACCTTATGGTTTGCTATTGTACATGTAAATTGTTTTCCTGCAGTAAATCTGCTTGGATTTCACAGCCTGGAGCCTCCCTGAGGTGTCCCAATTTGTCTCAGGTCATCCAGTTCACTCTGAATATTTAATTGTTCCAGCAAGAGGAACACAAGTGAAGACATTAATCAAAGACTGAGGAGACGTTTCACAATGTGCACAATGAATAAAAGTGCAACAAATGCAGGGCAGAGAATGTGGTTTGATTAGTGATCTGGTCTGAAGAGGGTCCTCTCCACGTGGCTCTGCTGTTTATAGGGTGATTCATCTTTTAGGGCATTTCAAGAGGAAATAAATCTGCATTCCACTTTTTGACGACCAGCCAAACACAGTGTTTCATACAATGACGACACGTCTCCCTTTGAGACTGTGACTGTGATTCATGGCCGAACATAAACCTGATTTGAAAACACACGTTTAGCCTCTTCCAGTTTGTCCTTCTGTGATATTTACTGCTTTTGGTCTTTTGTTGTTGTTGACATGTTTCTCTCTGCTAACATCAGAGCCTGCTGTCATGTTGAGTCTTCATTCTGCTTTGCAGTTTATTGATTTTGGGAGAGACTGGTGGCATCACATCCTGGCAGATCGTGTTATTCCTGAGCTCGTCTGACACGCTGACATCAGTTACGATGACAGGTTCAGGTTGTCTGTTATTGATTGAAAAACACCTTTACAATGTGATGCCAGCCAATACAACAGCCTCGATACAAAGAGTGTGCAAAGAGTGTGCAAAGAGCTATCATGACTGTAACGTTCAACATCCGACGACGCTCGGTCAGAGACACCACCTCTCCATCTTCATGCGAGGAGGAAGAATAACATCCATGTTGAAGTGATCAGTCAGAGCTGTGTTTATGCCAGAGCTGCTGCATTTGATTGCTTTGTATTTTACAGGTGTTGCAGTCAGTGTGTCCACCCCCTGTAGCTTGTACGCCTCCACACTCCTCCAGTCTCTTTCCTCTCCCACTCCTCTTCACTCTCACTTTGCAGTTCAGATGCAGCGATCTGCATGATTAGCTAACTTGTGAAAAAGACATTCACGGCTGCTGTTAACTTGCTAAATGAACTGACTCATGGTAATGTTATTTTATGTTTCTAAAAGACAAAGAGAAAGATGTACCCATTAAACATAAGCATCACAGCAGGAAGAGAAGACAAAGAACTTGCATTTACTTTGGGTCAAATGTTCCAGTGTGACTCAAGTGAACACGTCTGTTCTTGTCATGGTGAAACCTTGTTCCTTCATTGTGTCGACAGCACAGTATCTCACTGTATAAACAGCGGCTTCGTTTACATCAATCTCTTTAACTGATTAAGCCAACAGGCCGATGTCTTTGTAGAAGGTTGATTGCCCCAATCTGCATGTAAATGAGTGTTCAAGGCGAACGCTGCCCGGCTGCCACCGTTGCAGTCACCTGGAAGCTCGGATTAGCAGGAATTGTTTTCAAAAATATCGCAAATATTTGATGTTGAAAAATGAATGGATAGGCTGAATGTAGCTGAATAAAACATATGAAAGGTCTCATTCCAAATCCAAAATCACAAAACATTCATTTACATTAAGTGATGCTTGTTTCTCTGATGATTACAGGGATGAGATTGGGGAGTGTGTAAACCACTGAGACTTTCCTCTTGAAGCTGAAAAGAAGGGATTTCTCTGTGAATACGTTGGGGTTTGATCTGAGGTGAGACGGGACGGTTCTTACCGCTCTGGTGGGATTGCTCTGATCAATGGGGTTTTTGAAGTCAGTGCGAAGCTCATCAAATGCGATGATCTGAAAAATAACAGATGTGTTTGTTTTCATTTAGTTACCTTCAGAATACCAGTGCACACTCATACTGTATACGTAATGCACATACAGTGTAATTAAAAGACATAGCTGCACTACACTCTTAGGAAATGGTGTTGTTTTGTGTGTCAGTGTTGTATTGGGATGGTAACTGAAAGCTGATTCTGCTGCGCACTCACTACATCCTGTACAGCTGCAGCCACATTGTTCACTTTGCCTGAACACACATGGTGATTAATGTGTGCACGTATAATTACGCACAGTCTGTATATGAGCTGCTATTGTGTCCATACCATGTGTCTTTATTAGTTTCTTAATGACCGAGGAGCTAAAATTCTGGTTTAAATTCTCCCCTCGGTTTGTCACAGTGTGGATTTCAATGCAACCCTTACTCCTAGATTTCCATCTCCTCTAAACTTGTGAGACCAGTCTGTATTTAATGGGCCTGATTATAAAATTCTCATTAGAAATTGAAGATCCATGGAGACACAGATGGCCGTCAAAGGAACTCATTTGCAATGATTAGCATTTTTCTGGCAGGATTAAAACAATTAGAGCGCATCAAAAGTTATGTTTGGGGAAAAGTTGTTAAAGTTAATGACACAGACGATTTAAAAATGGATGCTTTGTTGAGTTTATAAGAGGATTATGGTACAGGAAGTCTATATCAAATCTTACATCTTTGACCTTTTTAGCAACACATTAAAAATATACTGTAGAGAAAACAGTGTCATTGTTCAGATACACTTCACTGATATCATCTAACTGCTCCCTGAGAGGTGAGCATGAGTGATCGCTTCTCTCTCCGTCCCCTGATTAATAGCTCTATAAAAATACTAATCATTCTTGGGATAAAGGCCACCTGCCACTTCCGCTCTTAAACATCAAGCTTCACTTTAATGGTTCATTGAGCAGTAATAAATAAAATGAAAAAAACAGGTATTATTTGCAGGTAAGTGAACATCAGGATCTGACTGGTAATTCCCTCCATATGAGTCTATAGGGCCCTCCCTCGCCTCCTTTCACACTGTTGTAAACAGATGCAGTTTCCATGGCGACACGGCGAGCCCCTATGTGGGCACCATGGTTACTACAGCAGTGCACAGCCGTTCTGATTGGTGGAGAGCCACACAGAATTGGGGTGCTGTGCCCCCCTGGTGGAAGCAGCCTGGGGGAAGGGGGTGAACGGACGAGGAGTTTGATAAGCGTTTCAATCACATGCTCGAGCGCTGAGCCAGACACACGCTTCTCCCCGTCTCTTTCACACACAGACACACTGACTGACTCATAGTCTCACCCACTTAGTCAATTGGTATGTTAGTCATTTCAAGTCTTATATTCATAATGATGCGTTTTGTATTTCACATTGTCCCCGCCTCCATGGATCGCACGTTAAAGGTGAGAGATCAGAGCTCCACTGTTTGTGGAGTCTGCACTTGTGTAACCAGAAAACCCAGCGCGCTGGTCTCCAGCGACATCTGTGCAAATTCCACTCAAAATGCCGCAGGCAAGACGGGTTCACAACAGTCTGGTGGGCAGATTTATCATCGTTGTGTGTTGTCGCCTCCCTGTACTCATTACATTCAGTTTGCTGGAGCCTGAACACCTTGTTTGAGGAACTGTTTAATGCCAGTCATACGTTTCTTGAATGTGGAAGGATGGAGCCAGCTGGAATCTGTTTGTGGAGTATACAAATGTCAGCTCCAGTTCCTTATACTAGTGATTAACCACCAAGAAACCAGGTCACTTCAAGTCGCTGTGTGGAAATAGATCAAATAAATGTACAAATTAAGACTTAATGTTCTGTGTTTTTCAGACTCCTGCTTCTCCTCCAATTCTGTGGCGTTTCATCCACCTAAAAGATTAATTATAATCCAACTAATTATGTCTTTAAAGTGTTTGAAATGAAAGGGAACAAAGTGTCATTGGTGGCTGTGAAGAGGTCAGATAGTCACACATAAGAACAACTACACTGTGGTTTCCTTGCTTGGTGTGTGTGTGTGTGTGTGTGTGTGTGTGTACTGTGTTCCTGTCAGTGTTGTACAACTGTGTGTAGGTGGATGTGTTTGTCTGCCTGTGTGGGATGGAGCGTGGACGTTCTCAGGCTCTACTTCTGCCCGTTTTAGTTGCAGTGTGTTGCAGTGTGCACGGAGCCACTCACCTGCCATATGACAAAGAAGATGAGAGCGGCGCACAGCACCAAGGTGAGCATGTAGCAGAAGGCCGCAAAGGTGAACGCCATGGCTGTTCCAGCCAGCCTGACGACGAGACGGGTCGAGAGAGAGAAAGGGAACCCCCCTCCCCTCTGCTCTCTGCCTCTGTGGCTATTGCTCCCTCTCCCTCTTCCCTTTAGAGGAGCTAACTGTCTGCTCCCCCTCTGACGCAGGCTGAGACTGTTTTGTCCAGGTAGGTAAAGCACTCACTTTTAGTAACAATCAATAATCAGCTTGAGCTGTGGCTTCACTTCCACTCATGCTGTGTCTTTGTCTCTTCCCTGACAGCGGGGTGACCCCCTTCCTCGCTTTGATTTAGGAAGCACTCATATGTCTGTTCACAGCCACAGTTGTCTGTTGTTGGCCTGATGCTCCTCTTTTCAGTCTCTGACAGGCAAAATGTCTGTCTCCTCCTCCTCCTCCCTGTAGTTTCTCTTTCGACAAAGCCCACACATTTCTTTTTTCTCTCACAGTAATGCGAACCACAAAGTGTCCGACTGACACGCTCTCAGCAGAAGCACAGGATTCTCGTCGATAGTACGCACAGCACTGCGTTTCAGAAAGGATTATTGTCTAAGATGGTTATGGCTTGTGATAGGTCAGTAGTTTGTCGTATGGCTTTCGGTTCATCTGTTGCTCTAAATAGAGAGCACTGTTAATGACGCATATTTTAAAATCATAGTTCACACATGTAAACAACCACAGTTTGCAGATTAGTTATTATTTGCAGAAACAGTTTCTTGGTATTTTACTTATTTCATTACAAAATCTTTGAGAAATAATTTGCCTCCAAAGAAATCTGATGATTTGCTGAAGATATAAGATATTGCTCTGCACGTTAGACAGTTTTCCTGGTTGCCAGTGTTGAGGCAGCAAATATTGGAACTAGGTTGCAAATCAAAAGACTATTTAATGCCAGTATCACACATCCAAGTACACGATCAGTGTTTCAGTTAGCATGGATCAATGTCTGGACTGATCTTAATATCGAGTAGAGAATACCTGTATCTGGTTGGAGACGTGTCTGCCACTGAACAGTCCACTCTTTCCTCGTCTCTGTCAATTTGGGTCGGCACCATGTCAGAATTCTCTCAGACGCATCCCTCAGGTTTCTCCAAAAACATTCAGATTTGTCTCTGCTGACAGTTGTTGCTGCAGGTTGAACAAATTTCAAATGTGAGGGTGAAAATTTAAGCAGAAACCTGCAGAACATCTACATGTTGAGACGCAGTTACTATGATTTTGAAATCACTCCTGCTCTTAAGCAAAAATCTCCACAGCCCTCAGGAGTCAGAAGTTAATTAGTCCACCTTCCTATTGTCTCCCCCTCCTCCTTTACCCGTCTTTCTTTCTTTCTTTCTTTCTGAACTCTCCTTTCTTTCTTTCTCCTCCAGAGGTTTTGAAAACAGACCTGAATGTGTTTCCTGAGTCTACTGTCTCTGTCTCCCTTCCTCTATTTCTTAGACTGCGAGAGAAATATTTCTATCACGCTTGATGTTATAACGGTCGACCAATAGCGTCGCTCTGCCTCCCTCCCTCTCTTATTTGCTCTCTCCGTCCCCTCTCTCTCCCTCCTCTCTGTCTGTCAGTCTCCCTCCCTCTCACATTTATACATTTCCATAATCCCTTGTTCCCCAGAGACTGATGAGGGGGCAGGGCAGGCTGTAAATGTTTTTCCTTTTGTCTGTATCTCCTTCTTTCTCCCTCTCTCTATCGGCCCCTCTCACCCAAGCCTTCACTCATCCATCATTTCATGAAATTTACGTCTGTTTCTTGGAGGGTGTTGCTCCACTCACCTGTCATTTCTTTCCTTTCTCTGCTCTATTAGCTGTTCACTCAACATCCATTAAATCGCTCACTGTTCACAGCTGGTTTTAGAAAAAAAAAACACTTCTCCCACATTTTTGCATTAAAGGAATCCAGTATTATCATCTCTGATTCTCCACGTTGATCACGTTGTACATGATTTCTCAGACAAATTCCAAAATCAGCATCATCAGAAAAAAAATGTGATGTAGTTCCCAACTCACAGCCTTATCAGATGAGCTTGAACAACCTTTCATACACACCACCTGTTATTCTATAAATATGTTTAAATAAATCGATGATTGACTGGTTATTTAACACTAACAGTTACATAACACTGGATATTGTTATCATGTCAAACTCACTATCGTACCACTTTCACTTGGAGGTGGCAGAAGCTGGACGTTTCAATTGTTTAACTTACAACTATTTCAATACCTGTTCATTGACCTACTTACACTATTCAAAGCGTTTATCAACAAATAATTTCAAATATTTCACTTGCTAACTAGTTTTCGCACACCTCACCCAGTCTGTAATCACTGTGTTTATTTGCCATGAAGTCCTGGAAACTGCAGAAGAACCACCTGAGGTAACTGCACCTGACTGGGATCAATAATGGATCCAGATGAGGAGAAGCACTGATCAGTGATTTGATCAGAGAGACAGAAGTCGGAGCGTCTCCAGAGTCTGTCCCCTCCTGCAGGAGGCGGGTCAGATTATAGCTGATCTTCAGTCAGTGATCGAGCAACAGCTTCAGCCTTTAATCTGCATTAACTGATTTATTGGCCACTTGGGGGCAGAGGAAACTGCAAACACGGAGCTGACATGTTGTTACCTTTTTTTGACACGTTGCCCTTCAGTTGAAATCTTGCTGGTGTGCACCTGATGAATCTAAGTCCAACATTCACTCTGCTCCGAGCTCTGTTTTACTCTCCAGCTCCTGAGGGAAATGTCTGACTCTTCAGCTGCAAATGCTCAACTATGTTCAATAACCAGCCGATAACTTTGTCTGTTTGCCGTTTGCTGCTGGGCAGGGAGCGCAGTGGGTTCATCAGAGCTTTTCCACAGGAAACAGTTGCCTGCTGCAGCCAGGGCAAACCTGATGACGCACCTGATGAGAGCAGTGACCTGAAATAAAACAGTAAAGGTGTAAAACCAAAACAATGAGCTGAGAGACAACAAGCTCAGGAGACAGGAACTGCAGAGTCTGGTGATAATTCTCTGGGTTCATCACTATGACGACCGACTTTCACATTCCACTGTTCCTGTGATCTGCAAATAATAAATATATTGATTATTGGTACTTCATTTTTCCATCCTTCTTTTCTTGACTGAAACAAATTCATGGATGTTTTTTTTGTCCAAAGGGGGGGGGGGGCAGTTCCCTCAAAGTTAGGAAATACACCAAGTGAGCATTTTATTAGGAACACCACACTGATGCTTAGCGTCATGGATTCTACCAGATGTTGAAACTTTCCTCTGAGACTCTGTTGCATGTTGATACGACTGCATTACATCATTTCTGTAGATGTGCCAGCTGCACATGTAAGCTGGGGCGGCGGGGTCAGCCCTATGTTCCCCTATTATAGTTTGCATCCACGTTCCACGGCGTCTTCACATTTATCCACCTCAGCGATCGTTTTTGTAAAGCATCGTTTTCAGTTACGGAATTCACCGTTCTACTGTGGACGGAAGGGCTAACCGGACAAATATTACCCGGGTTAGTGTGGACATGGGCTTATGGGACCATATAAGACTGTGGGAAAATAGGGCCTAATTTTCAAAACATTCTTAGAAATGTGGGAACATAGGGCTGTGGGAACATAGGGCTGTGGGAACATAGACACGCTCCCGGGGCGGCACAGTGGTGCAGTGGTTGGAACTATCACATCACAGCGAGATGGTTCTAGGTTCCAGCCCCGGGCCTTGGGCCTTTCTGTGTGGAGTTTGCATGTTCTCCTCCTGCCTCACTGAACTCACTGTCACTGTCTCACCTGACGTGGCGTCTGCTGTTTTAGTCCATCCACCTCAAGGTCGGACGTGTTGTGATCTCTGAGATACTTTTCTGCTCACCACACCAACAATCATGTCACAGTCAGTCACTGAGATCACATGATCACTTGCTCTGATGTTTGATGTGCACTTTAACTGAAGCTCCTGACCTCCATATACATGATATTATGAATTTATGGAAGTAGATTTGTTTCAATATTATTATCATCTGTAAATATAAAACAACTTCCACAAATACAACAAATACATTTACAAATCCACATATCTTGCAGATACAAAACGGATTTGCAAATACACAAATAAATTCCACAAATGTTTTGAAACAAACTTTCTGCTCACTTTCGGAAAACACGTGAGCACCTGCTGACAACGCCATTTCCGCTTTTCAAAGTAAGAGCACTTAGTCTTCTATGTGTTGTTTTTTCTCCCAAAATAATCGGCGACAAGTAACGTGCACTACGTAAACGGTTGCAAGACATGAAGTGACACAACCTGGTCTAGGTCTTTGATAGTATGGCTGTTGGTGTTGCTATTTGTTTTGTTAAGAAATGACGTATCGCAATTTTATTGTTCATTGTTAATATGTAGGCTAACCTAACGTTAACTTCTGAACCTGCACTTGTTCCCATGGCGACAGTAAACATTCATGTTGGGACTGTGAGAATGAAAGCAGGGTGTTGGATTTACACACTGATGATGATGATGATGATGATGATGATGATGATGCATTGTAAATAGAGTACATTTCATACCCATCCACCCTGTACAGAGATAGCTGGTGGCATTTCTTTACCACTGACTTTATTGTAATCATTCTGTCCATTTGTGAGACAAACCTTGAGACAAATCTACCTCCATAGAAATACCATTAATAGTTTTTACACAGTGACAGTTAAAGTTTCATGAATGTTTGTGGACCTTTCCAGATTTTTACATTGGTGTGTATGTGACTGAATGTTCACACTGTGGGGAGAAGCTATTCACCTGCTCTGCTGCACAGCCACAAAGTTTCCAATAACACTAAATACTGCATATCACAGTGGATCTTTGTGTCATTTACACCCTGGTGAAACAAACAGCTGCCACTGCCACAGATAGACAAGCAAGTGACAAGGAAGTGACGTCCTAACTGATGACCTGCCTTGATGAGAGGACTGGAAGATAGCATTTTCCTTTTCATTTTGACCCCACAAAAGCGTAGTGACAT